ACTCCCTAACACAGCTGGGTGGATTTCCGAATTGGGAAACAGCTATCTTCAGCGCCATCACAGTGTTCCGAAACATGGTCTCACCCTACCACGTGTCTTCCCACTATGTGATTGGTCAAATTCACCTTCGGAGCGGCCTGATTGGCCGTCGTCCGATGTTCTACTCATCTTTCGCTCGGCTATTTTCAGCCGGCGTTAGATGTCGTTCCTTTCGCCTAGTGACTTTACTAGTGTTTTCTCTAGTAACGAGAAAAATCTCGTTACACACCCCTCTCCCTAAGAGAGGTTTCGACCCGAAACCTGTGGGTTCAGATCGCTTACTCCTGGAGAATTTCGTGTCTCTCTTCTGTACCTGGGAATCATCCAAGGCTTCCTTATAGGGCTTCATATCCGCTATTGAGGCGCCTTTCGGATTCCGTCCAGCTAAATCAGAGACTTCGTAGAAGTTTCTGGAATGCTTTTTCGTCACCACTAGTGGCCCATTGAATGGTTTATTCAAAGAGGCTGAGCGGTGCTTGGCAGCATTCGACAACTCGTGGTTTCGAACTAGAACTAGTTCTCCAACCTCGAACTCTCCTTTTCTCCGGCGCAAGTTATATGCTTGTGCCTGTCGATCGTTGGCTTCTATTAGGGCGTGCCTAAAAGCCAATCGGAGGGTATCATGTCGTTTCATACGCTCTACCCATGCTTCTGCAGGGGTCTCTTCAACCTCCACTTCTCCTTCCAGCTTTCTCCGCAATGAGTTGGCTGGTTCCGGCTCTCGTCCGAGGTTGACGAAGGCCGGTGTGGCTTTCAGCAAGCTATGTTGGGCTGTATTGTATGCAAATCTAAATGCGTCCAAGTGACAATCCCATTCTCGGTGATCTGTCTCCACGTAAGCTCCTATCATCGCTTTGAACGAACGGTTCACTCTCTCGGTGGGGTTCGCTTGTGGATGATACGGTAGAGTCGTTCGATGCTTCATGTTGGTTGAAGCTGCGAGCTCTTTCAAGTCCTTGTTCACGAACTCGGTACCATTATCGGTCAGCAATTCCCGAGGAGCTCCCTCGAACTATTCTGGCTGCCGCCTCTATCGTTCACGATTGGGCGCCAGCCAGGTTTTTCTGGAAAACCTGACGGAAAACCAGCCGCGAAGGAATTTCGTCAACTCCGCGGACTTTCAGTGGCGGGTCTCACAATGCCAAGCCAGCGTCAGCATGACACGGTAGAGTGGGCGAGGTTCACCAACGTACGAGGAACTTCAATCACTAACTTCTGCCGCGCGTACGGCATCGTCAACGATATCCTTCGGGGAATGTATTCCCCAGACTCTCGTGGAGGGATGTGACCATCTCTCGCACGTTATACTCTCTCCTCTGGGGTGGCTCAACCCCCAGACATGCAGCGATGAGATTGCTATTACCGAGTTCTCGAGTTGGGGTGGACGTTAGGTGGGTGAGAAAGGTCTCCGGATACCTACGTCGCATGTGCCTCGAGCAGTTCGGCGCCCTGCGGGGTGAGAAGGATTCGCAGGTAATCTGTGTCCTGTCTGGGGGTTGAGCCACCCCAGAGGAGAGAGTACAACGTGCGAGGGATGGTCACATCCCTCCACGAGAGTCTGGGGAATACATTCCCCGAAGGATATCGTTGACGATGCCGTACGCGCGGCAGAAGTTAGTGATTGAAGTTACTCGTACGTTGGTGAACCTCGCCCACTCTACCGTGTCATGCTGACGCTGGCTCGGCATTGTGAGACCCGCCACCGAAAGTCCGCGGAGTTGACGAAATTCCTTCGCGGCTGGTTTTCCGTCAGGTTTTCCAAAAAAACCTGGCTGGCGCCCAATCGTGAACGATAGAGCCGGCAGCCAGAATAGTTCGAAAAATATACTGGGGGTTTGACCCGGGAAAAATACTCTTACATGATAATACGTTTGATTAATTCAGATGTCAAACAGTATAAGAGACAATGGATAACATCTGGTCGGCAATAGTTATGATCTACGATATCTTCGATACTCCAGTCATCGTTCCTCACGAGATTATCAAGTTTTCCTAAAATTCCTCTTTTCCTCTCAACCCTTTCACATTTATCGAAAATCGTTTTCAAATCAGACATAGTCAGGAGCGGTTCGGGACAATTATTGATAATTGAGCAATTGCCGGATTTTGGAGGCTTTAGAATGGTAAAGATAGAGAGGATTTTGTACAGATAGAGGAATGTGGGTGTAGACGGGTGATCATTGCAACCTCCTGCTTGTCTCATACTTCCGAAGAATCTCTAGCAGAAATAAATGTCAAAAAAATAAATGAATAAAAATGAAAAATGGAATCTTTTTAGCGCTCGTGAACCTAATATACTCCTACAAGAGAAAATGGTAGTATAAGCGGTTTATTGAGAAAGATGAAAGAGGAGAATGATAAAAAACATTATTAGTAAAGCGTAGAAATGGTTATCAACAAATTTTGTCATTTTTCGAGACAAAAAGCCCTGAAAACATTAAAAAGGACTAATAATGCTACTGCGAAGCATTCCTAATTTTATTTTACGTACTCTACAGGTGTTTCGAAGCGCCAAATCCGAGTCAAAACCCACCTCCAACGGATCCTGATTGATTCTTCCGGTTAGAACGAAGGGAAAATCAAATTTCTCTGTCAGGTAGTCCACAATGCCCAGAGTTGACATGAGGGTTACACGAAGTCCTTCGGCTGTATCAGGAGTGAGAAATTGTTCACGAGAAATTTTTTCTTCCCTTACATCTTGTTTCCAATCATTCAATTTCTTGAGTGCTTCTACAATGACCTGAAAGTAATTGAAAATATGAAAGTCTTCTCCGGATTCTGTTTGAGCTGAGATGAAAAATGAATTTGCCGATTCTACATGCCTTATAATTGATATTATCAGAGCTAACACCTTGCATCTCTTCCTTTCTATTCAACTCTCTCATGGAGACTTTTTATGTGGTCCCACTTGATCTCTGAAGCCTCTGATTTCATCTACTCAAACAAAAATGAAAAATTAGAGTGATTAAGAGTTGATATAAGATTATAAAATCTCTCAGAACATACCTTCAGGGAACCTTTGTGTTCAAGACGATTTCTGATACATTTAATTAAGTGTGGCGTATCCGAAAAAACGAAAACTTTCCTGTCAGCATCCATTGGATGCGAAAAATCACATTTCGAGTTTCCAAATTTCCCACTAACTTCAATAGCTCCATGACTCCAAAATTTCCGATTTGTTGGAGCTCCATCAGTGACCACACCGTGTATCTTGACCCCGATATTCTCCATTACAATTATGGCTTATAATATGAGGGGGGCCAGCACATCTCCTTTCACTGGACCTCTGGACGCGAATACTGCGATAGGCTGAGTGTATGTGTCACAGAGTGGCCGAAACATTATCACCAAACCATGATTAGCCCTATCGTTGAACCCTGATGCTTCTGGACCATTTCCTCCAAAATCTTGTAACCCCGTATAGGAAAGATTTTTCGTATTTACACTTGCGCTTTCCCGGTTATGCATTTCATCTAATAAAATTTCTGTTTAAAAAATTTCTCCAGAAGCTCGAAAAATTTCGGATCAAAGCCGCATGTAGAACTAATCGAGGATAAATGCCTGCAATTCAAAACAAGGAATTAAAATCTTTTGGGTTTGTAAAAAAATCATGGGAGAGACCAGTAAAAAAAAAGTACCTGCGTACTGTCCTGATTGAGGGCAATGGGAGAATCTGATTTTCTTGTAACAACCTGTAGGTCGCCGGGGATTTCATATGGAGGAGTAACGCCAATACCATCCATTTTTCATTGTAGCGTCGAGCTTTTGCTGATTTGGGTTGAACTGAAGAAATGATTTCATTCAATGTCACAAGTTGGTTCTCAGAGATCTGGCCAGATTCAAGAAGCTCAGTCAATTTTTTCGTCTCCACTTGAACCAATTTTAATCTGTAGTCATCGACTTCTTTTTTCAGCTCTTCAATAGTAGCTTCTGCACGTTCTTGGCATCTCGCAGCATATCGAACTTCGGTTTTAAGGGCCAACCATTGTTTCCTCCTTCTTGGAGATAGAGGGGTTCTCTTCCGGGTTGCACTTACACTCTTATTGAGACGCTCAACCTTTTTCGCCACAGTCTTCTGAGCCTTTCGACAGACAGGACAAATTTTATTCTCCACGATGAGCAAAGAGCAAAGAGCAGAGCTTCGTCACCAGAGTTAAGATGAGGCGAATCAGGCTTACCTGCTCCAATCTCAGAGACGCAGAAACTACTTCGTAGAGTCTTAGGAATTGCGAATGAATCACTAACCAGCAGGGTGGAGTTTGATTCACTAGTATTGGAAGTGGGCTTGAACAGTTTGGTGGCCCACACAAAAAGTGAGAGTACGCTTTACGTTGCACCCGTTTATAAGGCACTTTCATTACGTGTCTATTTGCCTCTAATACATTATGGGTTATCACTTCACCCGGTAAAAAGTGATTATGGCATATTAGGTCTACAGTTTTTAAACCAGGCGATTTCGTGGTTTTCCTCCACGCCTCTAATTCATGAAGAATTTTCGGAGCAGTCAAAAAAGGACCCTTGTCTGGATTGGAGTCATACCCCACTGTACAGCCAACCACGCTACATCTCGTCATTTTTTCCCTTTGATCACAAGAATAGACATTAAAATAACCAACACACTGCACTGCTCACTTATTCACTCAAAACAAACCGAAACTTTAATTTTTTATTTAGTATTTCGAGTCTAACGGATATTTAACTTTAAAATTTTACAACTATCTCCTTTTAAATGGGTGTTTCCATAATATATTAAGGTGCTGATAGCCAACAGAGGAGAAATAGCCTGTAGAATCCAAAAAACAGCCAGAAAATTGGGAATCAAGACCGTAGCAATCTATAGCGATGCAGACACGAATTCGATGCACGCAAATTTGGCCGACGAAGCATATCTCATTGGCCCCCCAACCGCCGCCCAGAGTTACTTGAGACAAGATAAGATAATAAATGTTGCCAAGAAGACTAAATGCCAGGCAATTCATCCTGGATATGGATTTCTCTCTGAGAATATGGAATTCGCAGAGTTATGCAAGAGAGAGAACATCATCTTCATTGGACCTCCGGCTACTGCCATCAGAGACATGGGGATCAAAAGCACATCCAAAGATATCATGAATCGAGCGGGCGTTCCAATTATTATAGGTGACCATAGTGTTTACAAAATTAACTCATATATTAAGTCCTCATTCACATTTTAAGCCTACGAAATCAAATTGATTTTGTCGTACAAAATTCCTCAAGTGATTTGTCTTAGAAATATTCTAAACCGCAAATTGATTCCATTGCAGACGATCAATAAATCACTTGTAACTTACAAGAAATATCAATTTTTCAATAATATTTTTCGATATCGAATTTCGAATAAACAAGATTATTCCTGCTTAATAGTCGTTTTTTAGAAGTAAGCCATGAGAATTATTTAAACTCTTGAAAATTTTACTTATTTATTTATTTATTTATGCATTTATTTAGTGGGTCGAGTTATTAAATTAACATAGATATTAAATTAAGCTCGATAAATTGAGGGCCATTCAATTTTTTTTTTCATTATTAGGATATCATTCCAATGATCAATCAAACGAAACACTCTTGTCCGAAGCCACAAAGATCGGTTTTCCTGTCATGATAAAAGCGGTACGTGGAGGTGGTGGTATGGGTATGAGAATAGCTAAGGACGACAGAAGTTTCATAGAAGCATTAGAGTCAGCGCGAACAGAATCTCAGAAGGCGTTCGGAAACTCCGACGTTTTGTTGGAAAAATACGTGCTAAACCCGCGGCACATTGAGGTCCAAATCTTCGCCGATCAACATGGAAATGCAGTCTACTTGTTCGAGAGGGACTGCTCGGTCCAGAGGAGACACCAGAAGGTCATCGAAGAAGCACCTGCGGTAATTCATAAATCAAACAAGTCTATGATAATCGACTGTTCTATTTTTCCATGGATTCTTTATTTCCAAAAATATTACTTAATTACTCTCTTAGTTTGTTCTCTCAACTTTGTCGGGCGAAAGCCACGAGAACTTATGAAATGCATATGAGTGATGCTACAAAGTAAATTGGCACATATTTTTTATAAAGTATGTAATTTCAAATAAAAACTGTATTTTCAAATGTTTGGCAAGAGTTGAGGTTTGTTGGCCTTAGATTTAATAAAGAACACATTTCATTCGGTTGGTAGGGTGATATAGGACTCTTTTCCAATGTTACAGCCAGGATTATCTGACAAAATGAGACGAGAAATCGGTAAGGCAGCAGTAAGAGCTGCCAAAGCTGTGGGATACGTTGGTGCTGGTACTGTGGAGTTCATTTATGACAGGAATGATCATAGATTTTACTTCATGGAGATGAACACTCGTCTACAGGTGGAGCATCCAGTGACTGAGGCCATCACTGGACTTGATTTGGTCGAGTGGCAGCTGAACATCGCAGCTGGCGAAAGACTTCCACTCACCCAGGAGCAGATCAGCATTAATGGACATGCCTTTGAGGCCAGAATTTACGCCGAGGTATTCACCACAGATTTTCTACTAAATTTCAACAAATAAAAGCCAATAAATTTAATCAATATCAACTTATTAAAGATATCTACTGATAATATACAAATTTGATAAATAAAAATAATATGTCAATAGTAAAGGCAATACCTCAATTGTTTTAGGATCCTAGGGGTGGATTCTTACCCCGAGCGGGTCCTCTGATATACCTAAGCCCCCCAAAACCGTCAAGAACCATCAGAGTGGAAACCGGAGTAAGAGAAGGAGACGAAGTTTCTGTTCATTACGATCCGATGATCGCTAAATTAGTTGTATGGGGTATCAATAGAGCTGAAGCCCTGGACATTTTGCGCGCGAAACTAGCGGAATACAATGTAATAATCTTCCCATCCATAACTGTACAATTATGACCTTTGTAAACGCCTCAAGGTAATTAACAATTGATAATTATAGATAGCTGGGGTTGAAACCAATATTGAATTCGTGAAGGATGTGTGTCGTCACCCAAAGTTTCAAGCTGGTGAAGTCCATACCGGCTTCATCGAGGAAAATTTGGACTCCTTATTTCTAAAAATCCAGCCTCCAAGTGCTGTTCTCGCCCAAGGAGTCCTCGGCTTAATTTTCTGTGAAGATCTAACAACTTTGAAAGCTGCTCTCGACACCAGAGACCCTTTCAACCCCTTCAAAACAGAAATCGGTATGAGGGTGAACCACTCTCTCAAAAAACGATTCAAATTGATTTTTATGAAGAACGAATTCGTGGTGGATGTAAAGTATGAACATCCTGATGTCTATCTCATGAGGATCAATGACTTGGGACCCTGGAGGAAGGTGGAGGGTCAACTCACCCAAGTGGATAATGACCTAGTTCTTAAGAGTATCGTCGAGGGGATCATGACAAAATCTTGTATTTGCAGATTTGATGATGAACTTCATGTCTTCACTAATGTAATTATTTGTTATCAAGTTTTGATTTTTTTTAAATCTTCAACAAAAAAGCGAGGTTTTGCTAATTGTTGAGTAATGAATTGATAGCGCTTAATCGTTTGAGTCCATTCATATATTAATCGTTAGGAAAACCATTCTTGGGAAATATTGAATTTTATATTTTCCGATATCCCTATTTAAAAAATCGTGTTCTCTCTGATCAGCCAATACTTTTAACTCTCTAAGCCCTCTATTCTTTCCATTGAGAATAGTATATTACGCAGCAAGTGCGTAATGGATTTCTTGGCTCGTGAGAAGATTGTAACACGAGCCGAAGCAGAGTTTTACAATCCCACGAGTCAAAAAATCCATAACGCACGTGTTGCGTACACTATTTTACCGGGCGAAGAGAGGTTAGAATCGTGTGATTACGGGTACCTATCACATAAATTAACTTAGCTAATATTCCGATTCCTGAACATTCAAACTCAGGAATGACATGTCCTGTCACGCCGGGCCATTTCTACTTAGGTCATATTTTCAAACTCTCATCGCAGGATACATTGGACATATGTAGTATCATTCGAAAGCTGACAAAACTAGCCTTCAAGAGATACTACTTTCGTTTCATTGTTTTGCTTGGTTTTCGAATTATGAGCGCTTCAATATAAAAACTGGGTTTCATTTCCTCCCACGTGATACTTTCAGCTCTCAAGACTTCCAAGTGCCTTCTTTAAGGTGAGCGTATGTTATACCATCTTGAAGTCATTATATGCGTTTTTAAACGGTTATTGTACCATCTTCGTATCGTCATTCGCACTCAATTTATAATTTTCACGTTCGCATTCGCACTTTTTGTCATGTTATTTTTATGATTTTGTAGTATTGCACCCTTAATCTCATGATATTAATAAAATATCTTGAAACGCTTCGGAATTACCAGTTTGGATACAATATATTTGGCTTATTATTATAAAATATAGATTTTCGATGTGTAAATAATTTTCATTGGTATTTTCTGTTAAACAATTCAAATCGAATGTTAATGCGCATTATTTCAACCAATTTATTGAAAATTGGCCGCTTAGTTTCTTTTTCATCAGCAAAAAATGGCCGTCGGGATGTGTGAAATCAGATTTAGATTTGAAAGAGATTATTAATTATTTTATTTTGTTTTTATACAAATAAAGCAAATTTGACATTTTTTGTTAATTTAATCCACATCAAAGAAAATAAAGTAGATCAAGTAACTACAGCCAAAAACAAAAATCAAGTAATAGATGAGAAAAATTTGAGTAGCAATGCAATTTTTTCTTTTTTTTTCCTCGATACGCTATCTCAAGATAAATTAAAATCTCAAATTATTTCTTAAAGTTTTAATGGGAAGTGGAACGAAAAAATGGATTGACAGCTTCACCACAGTGGCTGAGTTCTATCGACCGTTCAAATAAGGTTTAGACGAAATAGTACACGGAGAGAAATATTTAGTAAAAATTACGGAACTTTCAGTTCACTTACCGATTACGAAGTTGATTCGAAAAGTTTAATTGACGGTATCGTTATTTTTTACCGATAATTCAGATAAAAATTACGGAACACCGCGGAAAAATTCCGTGACTTTAGATAAAAATTACGTGACAGTTCCGTAAAATTTCCGACAACCACATTTCGCTCCAGAATTACGGAAAATACACATAATTTTTATTGAATATTTCTCTCAGTGTATATTTCTCCCCTAGAGAGGAAAAGTAGACAAGTCCTCCCCACGTACAAAATAGCACGTGGGGAATGCTTGCCTGTGTTTCCTCCCGAGGGTTGAATACGATTTTTCTGCCTACATACTTCGTTCGGTCAGAATGCTCACTTTCGGCGTATGTGGGCAGAAAAGAAAATTTTTTTAATTGAAACAAATTGAAGATTTCCGAATAGTCTGAAAATTCGGCGAATATTTATTACAAATATCAAATTACAGAAGAGGGTAAATTATTGTAAAATCTTGTATTAAAGGGGCAAGATGGGAAACAAAATTTCGAAAATAAAATAATTTTGAATATTTCAAAAATGCAGAAAATGAGGGAGTATCACAAAGTATAGAAGATTTTGAATTATTGGTTAAATTTCGCATGGACGAAAAATTTGGACACCAAATTAAAAAAATATGTGAATAATTAAAAAATTTTTCAATTGCAAATATTTGGAAAAAATTTTCGAAATCATGCAAAATGACCAATTATTGGAGAAATTTTTTGATTATTTTGGTGACATCTGTGGGATTCAAAATTTATGTTTTCTGGCCAGAGGTGCACATGCTGTTTTTCAGCATACCTGCAAAGGGAACTATGTGTTTAGCGGTTTGAAAAGCGGGAGAGAAGTAAATATTTTCTGCAGTGGGTGGAAAGTTGCTGCCACGGTCGGAAAGTCTTGACTTCAAGACTTGCCTTTGCGACCTAGGCAGCACCTTTCTATCCGTGAGCGGGAAGTACTCACTTGCCCCCCGCTCATAAGGGAGTAAACTGCCAACTTTCCGTGCAGGGGTGTTAAGAAAAAAATGTAGTGGTTACCGATATATTTGATTTCCTTGAAGATTGCATGGATTTATTGGATAATTTAAAAAGTGAACGTTTCTATATGACTGATATGGCGAACCACATGGTAAAAATCAGTATCATTAATTCAAGGATTACATAAGTTGTAGAAAAATTGTCGGAAAGAAATCCAACCGAAGAAGATTGACAACCGTTCATTGTAATAATTGAAAAGAAAAATTGAAAAAAAAACCAACTGACGTGAAAAATACAAAAATAATGGAAGATAGTACAGCTCGCGAACGCTGGCAAGGAAAAGAACGAATAAAACCTATCAGGGAACGCTGAAAGTATAGAACGACTGAGAGCCAAGAGAAAATGAACGACAAATTAACTGGCTACTAGATTGTGAAGTCAATTGAATTATAAATTGAACAAATTTATGTGAGAAAGGCCGATATGAGGAAATCTTAAGGGATCATTCCCAATAGTGCATGTCCTACGAGTGCTTTAATATCACCCTAGTTCACTGAGAAATATCTTTTAATGAAATTTTAGTGAAACCTGTTTATTATTTTACTGTGTCTCAAAAACTTATTATATCTCTGTATTGTTTGAATGGCTGAATTACTTGTATTTTTAAGGATCGAGCATGGAAATTCAACGTACCACAGCCAGATTACATCAAGAAATTGTCAAGTATAAGTGATGATTCAACAGGTGTAGCTGTTTCTCCAATGCCAGGTGTTGTCGACAAAATTCTAGTATCAAAGTCAGATGTTGTGAGTAAAGGAGACCCCCTAGTTGTGATTATAGCCATGAAAATGGAGGTAAATGCTCAGAAATCACAAATTCTTGCAGTAGAAAAACCTCAAAAACCCTAATTCTCTAATTTTCGATTGTTTGCAGCATTTAATTAGGGCACCATCCGCCGGAACAGTCGAAGAAGTTTTGTGCTCAGTTGGTAGCACTGTGGGAAAGGATCGTCTGTTAGTGAAAATGTCGGCAGCTCCAGAAGAATATAACAACAAATAATCATGACGTTCAAGCACCATAAATTTGAAATGAATCAGTCATTCCTGTAATTTTTACTTGTGAATAAAAGCCTGCCAATCGGTTGATTTTTCAAGTCGAAAATTCTACCGGAAACGAAAAAATATTAAATTGGAGCATCATGTATGTATGTTTGTCCGATAGGATGTGGTAATTATTTCGAAAAGTTTGACTAATTTCGACATCAAAAGAATGAAAGCTTAAAGTCTAAAATTTCATCATTTAATGGGTATTGCCGGGAAATCTTCTTGGCCGCAGTCTTATAGCTCAATCAGTGGAGTTGTTTCGAAAGTACAGCAACTTTCGGAAAATCTTTGAACCACAGTTTCGAAGAAACAACCTTCCTTAATTCAATTTTTTCAAGTCAAAATCTTTTTAATAATGATTCTGACCCATTCGTATATAAAATCCCGCGTTTTCTTTCATATTATCCTCCATTATTCAGAATGCGAACGTTATTCAATATCATTGTTCATTTAATATTACGTTCACTGAGAAAAAAAATGTCTTTCGCCAAGAATATTTACTAAGCATAAAAGAATATATTCGGCAAATAAAATTTTTTCTCGCAGCGAACTGATACTCTGGCCGTCATTGAATAACCGATTTTTAACATGCAATTTTCATGAGCATGTAGCCCTTATGCTGGGAGAAAAAATTTTTTTCATTAGTTTGATGTAAATATCATAGCCGCCGAATCGAATTGTTGAGTGTTTTTGTTACTAATCCATTATTCATGAACAATTGATATTCTGGCTATTGCAGGTGGAAATATATTTTCCCATGGAATTCACGTACTTTCGAAGAGAAGAAGTCTTGGAATATTCATACGTAATTAATTCTTACGTATTTGCAGCGATTCTTCCAATAAATTTGTAAACAAATGATTTTCAAAGTTTTTTCAAATATTCTATAGTCTTTCCTGAAAACTGTTTTCACATTTCCATAATTGCATAGCTTCTTCATATGATGTATAAATGATTCATTACAAAATCAACCCCCTTAAATCGGTTTTTTTTTCGAAATTTGTTCAAATATTTAAAAATATGATTTTCAATGAGAAATCTTCTTTTTCAGAAGTTCAATATATATTAAGGACAGTTGTCCCCATGATATTTTCACTCACCATCTATTAAATGCAAAGTGATAAACAATGACCATCAAATTCATTTATCATTTTTCATTCAAGGAAGAGTGAAGTTGGAGGTAAAAATTATAAGGATTTATCAACTTTAAATTATTTCCAATGCTTAAAACATTGTCCCAATGAAAATTGTTTTTTTTCGTCACCAAAATTTAAGAATTCGATATTTTCCTTCAAGGCTCATAAAATGCATCACATGAAAAATCTATACAATTACGTAGAATTCAAAACAAAATTGGTCATATATGTGCTCATAATATTGAAAAATGATTCAAAAATCGCTGGTAATTTATGCCCATTGAATTCATACATGTTCCATGGGGACAACATCTCTTTGGAAAAACTGGTATTCCAATTCATTGATAATTCATTAACAACAAAAACTGTTACAGGCGACTTAGGAACATTTATTAGTGTAATGTGTAAAAAAAATGAGGTGGAAAAATTGTTTCCTCCCAAAATTTATGCATCTTGTCCCTACGATTACTACCAGATTACTTTACAAAGAAATCGACTTACTGATTATGATTTCGTTTTTATAATTAAATAACATTAAGATCTTTTCCAATTTCAGTGAATGCATTAACAGCTCTATCGATATCTTCCTTGGTGTGAACTGCACTCAATTGCACTCGAATTCTGGCTTTTCCTCTGGGAACGACGGGATAACTGAATCCAATCACATAAATTCCTCTTTCTAAACGAGAAAATCAATTAAATTAATGAAATCTCAAACATCGCATTAATTTCAATAATTTACCAAGCATTTTATCAGCAAAGTGAGAAGCCAATTTAGCATCGCCAATCATCACGGGACTGATGGGATGATTTTCTCCGCTGATGACAAACCCCTTGGCGACCATGGCTGACCTGAACAGTTGAGTGTTTTCCTTCAGTTGGTCTATTAGTTTTGAGCTACTCATCACTAGTTCCAGAGCCTTCATCCCCGAAGCAACGACTGGAGGTGGGAGAGAATTTGAAAACAAATAGGGGCGACTTCTCTGACGCAGAAGATTAACCAGAGATCTTGAGCTCGTCGTGTACCCACCAGCTGCTCCCCCTAGAGCCTTTCCCAATGTAGAGTTTATTATGTCCACCTGACCGAGATGGTCCAAGTATTCTTCAGTACCTCTGTAATGTCTCTTAAAATTTTTTTCTCATCGCAAAAATTTGCCGCTGGCTTTTACCAAGTTTTCATTACCTTCCAGTTTTACCGAGAAATCCTGTAGCATGGCAATCATCGACCAATGTGATAGCATTATAGTTTTTCGCTAATTTTATAATTTCGGCGAGGGGGGCTATATTGCCGTCCATCGAGAACACCCCATCCGTCACAATTACCCGCAATCTGCAGGTTTTACTCTCCTCGAGTTTAAGTTCCAGATCTTTCATATCTCTATGTTTATACCTGAATGCAAAATCATTTCTGTTAAATAGACGCATGGAAATAGATAATAACAACATAACTAGTTAAGTTAAGAGTTTCACTCAAAACTCAATTTGCATACGTATTTTTAAATAATTAAATTCTGTAATCTTGTCCCAATCTTAATTGATTATTAATTACAATTGAGAATCAAAATATGTATTCTCGACTAGCAATACTATCTCAAGCTCCCACCTAAACTTTTTCGCCTTGCATAATCGGATTCCATCGATGATAGAAGCATGATTCAACTCATCACTGATCACAGCATCCTCTGAAGTCGTGAGGACTTCGAAAAGTCCAGCATTGGCATCAAAACAGGAAGCATAAACGATCGCATCCTCGCGTCCATGGAATTCTGCAATTTTTTTCTCCAAGTCCCGATGAATACTTTGAGTTCCACAAATAAATCTCACAGAACTTAATCCTGCTCCGTAATTGTCCAGAGCACATTTAGCGGCCGCAACGACTTCCTTATTATTCTAGCAATTAAATTATTTCCATATTAATCACCGACTCTCACCCTTGGTAATTGGAATAATAGGAAAATTCTCCCTCAAATTTTTTCACAACTTTTTGACCCTTTATTTCAAGTATATCATTTTTTCACATTTTTGGTTTTTTTTTAAGTCAAGTCTAATTGATCTGATTTTTACTCACTGAGCATCGAAATCCCCCAACTATTGACTGTCGCATCAATTACCGAAAATGTGAACATTAACACATAATTTAATGTTGAAATCATAAGCATTATTGATCATAGAAATTCATTAATAATACACTAATTTCTATAATTTGTATTTATTTGAGTAATGATTTTTGTTTGAAAAAAAAATGTCATGAGTAGATGATGAATAATGTTGTGAAATAATTACTGCTAGTCCCAAGTAGTTATTCGCGCAAAAGTTGAGCACTTCCTGTCCGCTTGTCAATGAAATCTTTTTTTTTTGTGAGGATGTAATGATCCTCTCGCTTTTCCACGTCCCAGCTGCTTTGATGCCGTTCAATTCAGATACTAGGATCTCCGAAAATGAACTGAACTGCGATGTCAAATGATTGTTCCAGGAGAACAGCACTCTCGAATTAATATGATACATTCTAAAGACTTTGTTGAAAATGGTTTGAGACTAGTAAGATTATTACGGATGCCCTATACTAGACGTCGGGTAAAAACTTGTCGACCTTGAATTGGTGGGGGCCTTTCTACCTTACAATATCCTCCACTTTGGGCTTTAAATGACAAAAAATCTCCTTTTTCCCTGAATTCCCTCTCACTAAAATTCCAAATTGCAATTTTATTCTGAATTATGCAGAATATTTCGCAAAATTCGCCACAAACACATCACCAACTTCCTGAAATGATTGGATCTCATTATTTGGAATTGAATTCAATTATTAAACGTCGGAGGAATTCAAGTTTTTTATCGTGTAGAACATATTTTTTATTTTATTTATTTGCCATTTCTTATTTACTATTATTTATTAATAATATATTTGATAATTTTCATTATCGTTTAAGACCCGGGTGGACTATCTCTCGAACGTCGGCTTTTGCTTAAATTTTATCTTTTTAACCTAGGACACATTAAAATTTGGGATCAATTTTGTGTTGCGAGAAGCACTTGAATGGACATGAAAAAATAATTAAAAAAAAGAGGAAAAATTATTGAAGCGCGCCAAAGATCGATATTATTTAAAAGGGATTTACCAAGTTTACCAAAAAATAATAAAAAATACGTAGCTTACTATTGCATCTAGCTGTCACTCAATCTTCTGGAGAGCAATGGTAAGCTGCGTAATTTTTATTATTTTTTTGTAAACTTGGTAGATATTGAACAATATCGCTCTTTAGCGCCCTTCAATAATTTTTCCTCTTTTTTTTCATTATTTTGTTATACCTACTCGATAGATGCAACCGGGCCTTAAATTAATTAACTTCACTGAAACTCAAAGAAAAAAAATCGATTTGTGGGAAAGAAAAACTCACACTGTACTCAATCAAAATCAGTTTCGTCTTATTACTTTTATTATTACAGAGTAAGCAATAATTTAAATAACCAATAACATAATCGACATGGTTCGTTACAGTGGAATAAATAACTGTTACACACCTTGGTAATGGAGAAATACCTTAAAAAGTTTTGTTAATTATAACACCAACAATTAAGTACAATTAAGTATTCTGAAGGACTATGAAACCAACGGGGCAGATATAACGCCTCCTAGACTCATAAATAATTCCTAAAATGACATAGAAAATATTTCATTAACCAATGTTGTTATTTTCAAACGTAATACTTCGTTATAAGAGTAATCCTTCAAGGAAGAATTTCTTTTGTATGAATTGGATTTTTTCGCACATGAACTGACACCTCGCAGATAAATTCCTCGATCACGAGTTGAATCGCCATTTCATAGTGAAAATATCATTTGAGGAATTCGACTCTTGATAAAACCACAATTTCTAGAATAACAAGATCTCATTAAAAAAATACTGAATAGGATACTGAATTTATCATCTGAATAATACAATTAGACTTCAAAAACAGTTTGTTAATATGGCATATTGCGGCAGTTTGTATAGTTTGTTGCATAATTCTCAATATCAATATGATGATTAGATGATTAGTGCGTAATCACTTGTAATTATGGACTCATTTTTTTTTTACAAATGCTTCAAGTTATGGCGTATTTGTAGATCCCTGAAAACAAAATGTATGGTGTCAAATTTGGTGTTATTCAATAAGTTGCTTCAAAATATTACTTGCAGTTTTATATCAATAAAATGATTGATATGTGAAAGGAGACTGCTTTTATGGACAAGTTCATTGGCTTATGATGACTTACTCCTCCGGTAAGACGCGAGGTTTCGCGTAATCCTCGGGCCACTCGTAGAAATTCGGGAGAGGACTGTCGTAGTTGGCATCATACATCTTCTCCATTATAAATTTTTTCTTGTCTTTGGGCTCAGGATATTCACTAGCTAGTCCACCTGTTAAAGATAATTCGGTATTCCAGATTCAAAAATAATTCACTCCTTGCAATTTTCCTTTTTTAAACGCTTTACATTTTTCTTCCTACAGCTTATTTATTTTCTATTGACAATCGTTTGCAATTGAAAATGAGATCTTTCGTTCATGAAGTAAGAATAATTCAGTCGCACTCAAGACGTTTGTTTTCTTATTTTTTTTCCGGCCCTTTCTACTTCCCTTTTTTGGTTAATTGGCCGTATCCCACCCTATTCATGCGGCTGTGGATCCTACACTGTACCGTATTCACTCTCCTGGAGATTCTATAGTATAGAACGTAGGAGTGACATGGGAAACCACAGGAAAAACCATGTCAGTATAGGCGGTTTCTATATTATCAACATCCCGCTCGGCAAAAACTTCGGCAAAAACTTTGTGGTGGGAAAAGTAAAATAGGAAAATTCTCTATTTCTGTGATAGAAACTTTTTTTTAATTATTATTTTATTGTTATTTTTGCTTCCGAATGGAAGCTCTGTATTCGATCATATTCAAGTTCACAATTTTTTATGTTCGGGTAAATAAATATAGTCTAAAAAGTCCAAATATGCGATTTTTAGATGATGTCTGTATGCATGTGTGTGTTTATTGCTTTTTCTGCCTACATGCGCCGAAAGTGAGCATTTTAACCTCACTTCGTTCGGTTAGAAGATGTTTTGCTGAGATTTTGTTATTTTTCCTGTTTTTCTGAGATTTGTTGAAAATTATCGATCGGATTGGGATATGAAAATATAGCGTTTGTTCGTTCCATCATGATTGACTATTTCATAAAGTTTCATCCCGATACACTAATTTTTGTAACTCTTCACTAAAATTTAATGAAAAATCAATAAATTCTAGTGAGAAGTTATAAAAATTGGTGTATCGGGATAAAACTTTGTGAAAGGATAAATCATGATGTAACGGATAAACGTTATATTTTCATATCCCAATCCGACCGATAGTTTTCAATAAATCTCAGAAAAATAGGAAAAATAACAAAATACCGGCAGAACATTCTTAAGTTATAGCATATTGTATATGAGATTTTTTTTTCATCTTCTTTGTGATCAACGGAAAATATTATGGAAATTCAATAAACCTCGCCAATTTTCGATTTTTCTATGAGAACTTATTAGTGTCGGATATGAAAAACTTTCACGAAATCGTGTGTATCGAACTCATTCAGTTTTACGAAAAGGCTTCTACGGAAAATGTCAGTTCATAATATGGAAAAACCGAAAGAATGTGAGGACTTTTATATAAACTCAACTTTTGGGGGCCCATATTCAATGGTTTCCAGTCGATTATCAGCTCCTTGGAATGAAATTATGATATTAATCGCCTTCGAGTGAATTTCCGAAAATAAAACCTGATTTTACATCAGCAACAAAATGATAAAATCTTCAAAAAATTATAACTTGGTGAATATTTGTTTTTCCTTGCCGAAAATTTAGCAGGGGCTTTATCTCATCATACACAGCGTCGAAAAAAAAAATCTAGGACAAAATCGGAGACATTGATTTTTATTGATTGGTCATTCTATAGGAAATTACCCTAATATGAGTCATCAGTCTGGTGCACTTGTGCATATCAATTAGACACCCTTATTACAGGTATTTCGTTTTTCCCGTCGAAATTTAGGGTTATTGTCAATAGTCAAGTCTGTCGATGAACACTTCTGGTCAATATTAATCGTTCATTGAAGGATTTAGGATAATGAGGAAGTGAAGATACTTTCACTACATGTTGTCAGTATTATTTACTATCAAAGTGATAATCAGAATTTTCTCTCTCTATTACTGTTTTTGTATGCGTTGTGGTTTTCTATTCGTGTGCTATCATTTGTTTTCGAAGTTTGGACTTGAGTCACTTGAACAAATAGGTGCAAATGTTAATGGTGATGAAAACTTAAAAAATAATTGACGAAGAAATTCATTCCTCTCAAGTTTATGAGCATCTCACATCCATTTCTATCGAAGACTGTCTAAACCATCATGACTTCCATTTTTTTTTAATCAAAAAAGACAAGGATGTGCAAATCTCGAAGCATTTTGCCCTCGCATATCAGTCAAGCACACGCGCCACTTCCCGATATTACGCCCACCACACGAATATCAGGCAACCCTTGTTATTGAGAGTACTTGGTATGAGTGTACAAAAATTAATAGTTAACCCATAGCTGTTTTGGTCCATATTATTATTTTATAATTTTTTTGGAACAGCCGCAGGATAAGGAGAACAGCTTATATAAACAGAAATAGAGAGAGATAAGTAAACAAAGACCGTCTGTTTAATGGGTCCAGGGCGTGAAAACTTTCGTTGCTCTGAGTCAGTTGAATTGCAGAGGTCATAGGAGAGTGATATACCTTCTGAGTGCGTTTAATAAAAGTTAAAGTCTCAGCCTAATCAGTTTTTATTATTTACTAATTCCTGTCCATAATCCAATACTTGTAATAACGTTAGGTCTCCTATAATTGCAGCCTCAATAATTTTATGGCTGCAGCTCCGCGCCTACCTGAGGCTGTCCGCCTCTACTTCACGTTTCAATGCTTTACCGCCAACGTGTCATTCGATTTTAGAATGACTTTACCCAAACCGGGAGGGCGTAATATCGTCACCACTGGGGTTTATTCGCAGACAAAGTTCGGCTAAAACTGAGTGCACATTAGGATTTGGGGATTATCCGGACCCTAGTAATAGCCTGGTTCCCGGCTACCTGAAGTTTTCACCTCGTATTATCGAAATATTTAGCAATTATTTTTCTATGCTCCTACTTATTACCGGTTGAATGCATCTCAAGGTAATTAAATAATCGGTATAATAATAATTAAAAAACTGTTAAAGAGGAGATTCTAAACACGGATCTACCACAAATTTCTACGAAAGTGTGTGGGTTTTGGAAATCATTCGGGTGAAATATAACGTGAAGTGGATAGCTCAAGAACGAACTATTGAATGAATACCGAAACCTATGAACACCCGTTCTTTTGGGTTCGGAGCTCGATTACCGGTCCGAATACTAGAAGGAAGAAAATATTATACATATGCCATGTGCTGCGTACGGAATAATTTACATTCAGAATAATGTATTTTCCCTCCGCCCCTCCCTCTACTCTCTGTGGCTGAAGTGATGTTACAAATGATCGCCACCTCAATTTTTCTATATCTTATTCGAAGACATCAGCCAAAGATCAGGTAAAAAAATTATAACTAAAAAAAGATATTTTCTTTTATCGGACCCCCCCCCCCCCCGCTCCATCAAATTAAATATTTTCAACTTGTGTTTTGTACAATTATCCTCCTATTTTTATAAACAAGCACACACTCTATATTTTCAGTTTCTTTTTTTTTACTTTTTTTGCAGCATATGTATGCATTTATGTGGTGTAGCACTGCTTCATGCAAGACTGCACCAAAATTTCAGATAAAAAAAAATAAAAAAGAAACTATCTACACGAGATAGTCAGATACTTCTACAGGGTCTTGAATCAATGACTTTAATTGTTGTTTGCAAAATTTGAATTTGTGTCCCATTTTTCTTTGCAGTGTAATACTTACACTGGCCATAAGCATACTCTGCAATTCTGACAGCAATTTCAATGGAGCACTCCTTGATGGTTCCGAGAGGAGGATAGACACTTCCCCTCGCCAAATCCTCCTCCTTGACGTGGTCCGCAACCGTCTCTGCGGATATTAAGAATAGATCCTCGGTGATATGATGAACACCGGTAGCAATCACCCCCAGGGCAATTCCTGGGAAGATGTATGCGTTGTTTCCTTGTCCTGGTTTATAAATTTTACCCTCATACTTGACCTCGCCAAAGGGTGATCCTGACGAAAATATACATCTTCCCTGAAGACACCAACCACAAACAATAAATAATTTTTCAAATAAATAGACGTGAATATTTTTTAATCTTCAATACCTGAGTATTATCGTAAGCCTGCTGTGCTGTACACTCAGCCTTGCTAGTAGGATTGCTAAGAGCAAATATAATGGGTCTTTCATTATTTTTCGCCATTTCTTGGAGCACCTCAGGGGTGAATGCTCCAGCAGCCGCAGATGCACCTGATATAAGAAATATGAACAACTTTAAAAACGCCTCAAAACTCAGAAAAAACTAGTTTTAATAAAAAAGATTTCACACAAAGAAAAATATTCTCTAGTCAATTCTGAAAATTGTGGAGTCTCCGAATAAATAATAACAATAATTATAAGTAATAATCATAATACTTAACTATTACGGTTATTAGTAGTTATAATAAATGATAGTAAATAGTCGGAACGTCCACCTATTGAAAAAGTTCTTTCAGCCAGTTTTAAAAATTAGCAAGAAAATATTGTCTGGTACCAATGGGAGTGAAGATAAAAAAACAAGTATAACATACCAATTAGACACGTGGGTTTGATTTCTTTAACGACATCTAGCAGAGTTTCAATGTCTCCATGGTCCTTAGCGTACCAGACTTTGTGACCATCCAGATTCCCCACTTTCCTATTTTTGGTGAGAAGTCCATCGATATCCATCATCCATACCTTATCCCTGGCCTCTTGCTGGGTACAGCCGTCTGCCTCCATCGCCTTGACGCACAGATCTGCGATTCCGATGGCAGCCTGAATTCAGAAATTATTTTCTACAATATTTTTTTAATCACTACACTTATAAAGAAATTTATCAGAGAAAGCTCTCGTTGTCTGTGAGAATTCTACACAATTAAGGTAGAAAATTAATATTTAGGCAAAGGGGAGAGGATATTTATTAGAGAAGGGTGATTGGTACCTCACCAGCGCCCAGGAAGACGAATTTGTTCTCTGACATTTTTCTTTTTGTTATCCTTTGAGATGCCATTATTCCGGCTACGGCCACTGCTGCAGTGCCCTGAATGTCATCGTTGAATGTGCAGTATCTGTCACGATACTTGTCGAGGAAACGGAAGGCATTGTGGTTGCCAAAGTCCTCAAACTAAGTGTCAAAATAAAAATATCAGATTGAAAAAATAAACAATATTAACTACTTGATTCACTTTAAGAGATGACACTCTGTGATGATAAACACATAAAAATACAGCGAATATTTCCTAACAAAGTGGTCGTTAAAGTAACATATCTTTTTATAAAACTGAGCAAAGAAACAATGATAATCTTAATAAAAACGGCAGATTTCCACATTTTTTAATTTTCTCTCCCACCTGAATAAGAACATTCTGCCCATATTTTTTCACACAAGCAGCCATGAACTCGTCGATGAGCTCATCATACTCGGCCCCTTGGCTCCTGGGTTTATTGAGCCCGATATAATGAGGATCATCCCTCAGTTGATCATTATTTGTCCCCACATCGATGGTAATAGGAAGACATTGGTGAGGCTTAATACCTGCAAGAGCTGTGTAAAGAGCCAATTTTCCCACTGGAATGCCCATTCCACAGGCCCCCAGATCCCCAAGACCCAGAATTCGTTCTCCATCTGTCACGCAAATTGCGCGAACTGCTTGCTCCGGCCTGATACATATGCAAGACAAATAATAGGAAAAAGTTAATAAATACTTATTTTTTCACATAAACATACGTAAAACGTAGAAAGTTAGCAACAAGAATTTTCATAAAGTGCCAAACGAATATATTGATGTAGAAAAAAGCAAATGTAATTTTCTACATGGTATATCCAATTAGATAAATGCAAAAGAGCAATATTTCATTTTAGCAAGAAATGGTTGCAATATTAATAGAATTTTTAATTTATGAAATGTAATAGAATTTTTCAACACAATTCCAAACTCCATGATTTTTTCATATTAAGACATTAAAATTTGTGCGGCGGTGGATAAATCATTTTAAGAAAGATATTTCACAAAAATTTTACTAAAAACTAGACTTACCAATTGTTAAGGATCTCATAGATGTGTCCCTTATCGTAGATTGTTATGAACAGTCCCCTGGGTCTTCTATAGATGACCCCGAATTTCTGACAGGCAAGTCCAACGGTCGGAGTGTAAACGATGGGCATCATCTGCTCGATGTTCTCACTAAGGAGTCGGAAGAACAAACGTTCGTTCCTCTCCTGTGATTTTGTTCAGATTAATACAGAGTGCTTAGCTGCCCTCATCATTAGATTATTCTAACACAAAAATAGGATGTTCAATTTTCTAAAAGGCGCAGGGCTTCACCTGGAGCTCCACGAGGTAGAGGTAACGATTTAGATCTTCTGTATACTTCATCACCGAGGCTTTACAAAGGGCCAACTGCTCGTCCTGGGTTTTGAAACGCGGAGGTTGCAGCCCGTGAATTCCCAAAGCTATTCTCTCTTTCAATGTAAAAGCCAGTCCCTGAAAACATAATGTGTGACGTGATTTCATGACGTGAAATATGAAAAAATCCCATTAAAAAACATTGCATTAAAAAAACATTGAAAATTGTGATGAACTTTTTTTAGAAGTATTCCGAATTTCCGCTGGGGTTCTTCAAGGGTCAATTGCTTTTATTGCTTTGTGGAACGAGTATTTTTACCTTATTCAGACGAGGATCTCTCAGGTGCCCTATGCCCTTCACCATATTTATGGGAACGACGTCCCCCGAAACTTCGTGGATATTCCTCTGTTGAACGTCAGCTGCTGATGCCGTTGCGGATGGTATGGCCCGCACCCAGCCTCCATGTCGTGATCTGAGGAAAATTGATAAAATGAGCCCTGCTCTAGAAAATTAACAGAATACGCTAGGGCATCTTTGCATCTTTTGCATCTTTTTCAGGCGAAATGAGATATTTTAGGTTTTCGTGAAATTTTTCCGGAGTGAAGGAAGCTTGACCAATTTTTATCATAATCTTTGTTAAATAGCTGCGGATTGAAGTTTTACCATTTCATTATTTCTGCGCGATTCATCCACTTTTCGCTTCCGAATACAAGCATCATAATTGTCCAAAATAAAGTTTTGCATTTTTTGTATTGTGTCTATCTAATATGATCCGAAAAGTCCGAAATAGTATACTTCGTACCAAGTGCCAAAATACTATTGTTCTCCCCGGTGGGAGCAAAATACACACTTCCCTCCCTAGGTGAGAAATATACTATATTTATTCTTCATTTATAAACTTCCCCAGCTCCTCCTATGATTTTTCGATCGTCACTGAAAGAAGGTATTATTCAATAACAAGATAATTACTTTTTTGAGGGGAGTTACAATTAAACATTTTTGGAATAAAAAATAGAGGTACTTTGAAACATTTATGTGGCGTATTGGGATTAAACAATACGTTGATATTAAAAAATAAGATATATTTAATACTATAGGCAATGTTGGATGATGAGAACGGGAAAGATGATCCCTCTTTCTTCTCATCTTGCAGAGTTGGCATCAGCAGTCCCACGGGGTCCTAAGAACCCTGTGACGGTCAGATAGAAGTATATGATGAGCTGTTTGACTGACTTGGTATCAGTGACACCAAGAAAATACCAATTGAAATTAACCGTGAGACTAGTTAGCTCAGAAAGATGAGACTTGGAGAGAGCTTTAACGAAGTCGTGAGAACTTTGGAGACATCAGAGTACAATCGGGTGCTGAACGGAACAGATCTCTGGGCTCCAGACCTTGAGCCCGACGAGAGTCAATGTACCTAGTCGAAAAACTTAATAATGCGTATACCGACCCGACATTGAATATTATCGTGTAGTTGATCCGTGTATTAGTGAATATATTATCACTGTACCGACTAATTACGGAAGTGATTAATCTTCCAAGAAATTCTTGCCAATCCTACACCAATGCAGACGAAGAAGATCATCATGACTTACTGGGCATGCAGAAGGATGTTCAGCAACACGTGGGGGCTAAGACCCAGAGTCGTCAAATGGATCTACAATCACCGAATAAGTTCGTAAAAAACTTAAAGTTGCATCCGTATTCTAGAAGCACAGGATGCAACTTCAAGTCTTTTACGAACTTAATTAGCCGATTATACACAGCCATAATGCTCCCACAGCTCACATACACTGACGTTGTTTGGTGGACAGCCATGAATAAAGCCTGCCATGGTAAAATAGTTGGAGGCTCTGCTCTTCCTCTAGCCGCTCCACCTTCACATTAAGGAGGTGGTGCTAACCTCGACTGCGAGATTACATCTGCAAGGCCTATGGAAAGGGGCCAGCAGTGGTCATGCGGCGATCCTTACGGCGGACAGCGACCTTCGGGGACTGCTGTCCTGGGGAGGAGATGCCTGCGGACCTCGTTGGCACTTCCAAATGAATTTCAAGGTCAACCTTGGAGAGGGGGCAACTTAGCCAGGGGGTGATAAAAAAATGGACGCCACCGAAGGGGCTGGTCTGGTACATGGATGGCTCCAGAATTGGCAACCGAGCGGGAGCAGGGATTTGGTCTGAAGGACCCTCACCTGCAAGGGCCCTTGGACTCAACTCGCATACAAACGGGCTCCAAGCAGAGCTTGCGGCCCAGAAGGTCTGTGGGTGGGACATCCTGGACAGGGGGGACAGGGGCAAGAAGATATACATTTGCTCGAACAACAGGCGTGCGTTGAGGGCACTGCTCAGGAATGAGAGTTGCTCTCGACTACTCAATGACTGCATTGAGCTGATGAAGAGAGTTGCTACCTATAATCAGCTAAAAGTGGTCTGGATCCCAGGTCACGCTGGCGCATCCTCGGCAACATGAAAGCCAATGAGCTGGCCAAAAAAGGATGTCTAGAGATTGCACCAACAGAGGAGGACCTGGTGGGTGTGCATATAGACTTTGTTAAGGATATGTTCCGGAAACGAGCGGTGAGGGGGGTTGTGGCAAGATGGCACTCTCCGGAAAGCGCTAAGCAGAAAAATACCCTACTACGTGAACCTTCGACGAAGCTGGCTGAGCCGCTGGTGAAACTGAACAGGGTAAAGCTCGGCTCTCTGTTGGGGCTTATCACTGGTTACTGGAATTCGCTGGCTCGGCCAACTCTGCCATGTGCAGAGTGGAAAATGGCCGAGAGGCTCATTATACTTCCCAGACATATGGGAAGGCTAAAAACCACTAAAAGCCTAAAAGCCTACACCAACCTCCTTCCGAATGAGCAAATCCTCCGTGAGATCGACGCAGAACTAGTCAAGAAGGAAGTGACAAAAACTAGTAGAGTCAGACAACAATTTGTAAACTGAAATTCACAAGATCACATTTATATATGTCGAGCATAAGTTTATTACACTGATAAGAAAATTCATTAATTTTAATTTTTATCAAGTCTTTATTCATATTCATCTACTGGAGAACCTAATTAAACTTATCTTTATGCCATCGCTCGCCAGAGTCGCAGATTACAGGCCCAATGACATGAAATAGTATACGAAACACTTGCGTTAAGGATTTTTTGACTCGTGGGAAGAAACTCATTACACACTTGTTGCGTGATTTACTATCAATTATTTGGAAGAAAATTCATTGAATTTTTCTCCGAAAAATATACAAGAAAAAATCAAAACTTGGGTGAAGTTAAGGAGTATTTCAGTTTGTTTCTTAGTGTATTAATTCAAGTTAGCTACATGGCTCATTGATTATTTTATCAATTATTGGGACGTGGTTATTTTCCGTATTGTTTCTAGTTCAACAACTCCATCCTCGTTACGGTTATCGATACATTATACACTTGATAAATTCAAAACTCTTGTGCATTGTCAGTTACAATTGAAAAATTGGCGATAACTATACATTTTATGCGAAAATTCCAGAAGAACTCTTTTCTTGTCATGATAAGGTAAATGACGGTGGAAGAACAGTTGTTGCCTGCAAACAGGAAAAATTGTTTTTTTTTTCAACTTCAAAAATTTTTAGTTTTAGTGTGAAATTTAAATGTTTATTTTCCCGATCCAAATATCGACCAACAGAATTGCAGCATTCGATGCCACGTGGTACATCCTACATCGTATTCTACTGATTATTCCGCACAATCAAATCTCGACCAATAGGAGACTAGGATATGACATCACGTGTTTTTGCACAGAATTATCAACATCAAACAATTGAAAAAACGTCACAAAACCGTAGCATTTGTCTAAATGAGTGAAAAGAAAGATTGTCAATAGATATCAAATCTCAGCTCCCATTGATCGAGGTTTGATTTTGGGGAATAATTCGGCGAATCCCCTCGTGCTTGAAAATCAATCGGATAATTCCCTCTGGTAAATGATAAATCTTCTGTAGAACAATCCGTGACCGTGGCGCTGGGCCTTTTCCTGGTTCCCACTAATTTCAATATTCTTATTTGATAAACCCTATATATTGTATGCTCATTCGAAATGCTATTAACTAAACTTCAGCTTGACACGTAGATCATTCATTTCGGAGTATTTTTCATCATAGCACTTTTAGGCAAAAATTTAATTTTTGTATTTTACTTAAAAATCCAATTTTGACTAGATTTTTCAATGTTTTTGAGTCAACCAATTGGAATATTAATATATCATTCTGAAGGGCATAATTGCTTCTTCAGAATGCAATATGAGGAACACAATTTTATTGAATTTTCATGAAGTTATTGTACATTGTTTACTTTTTGAACGTGATATCACACACTAAAATTCAGCTTTTTCGTCAGACCTTGGAACTTAACTAATGAGGCTTTGTCATGCACCACCTTGAGGATCTCAACGAGATCTTTTTTCTCATTCCATCCACTTGGTAAATTGTTATAGGTGGTTACGTGTCAAATTTCGCATTTCACAAATTGAAAATGCGCTGTTTTTTAAGGGATTTAAACTGAAATCAAGGCTTATGAATGCATTATTAGCGGATATGTCATATTAGTTGCGAAGATTATTGAATAAGCACGAAATTCAGAGGTAGAACTTGTAAGTTCTAGGATACAAAGTCCTAGCGAGAATGATGGCGAGAAGACTAGGTAAATGGCTCGAGAAGGAAGGGAAATTGCTAGAGGCACAGGCGGGATTCAGAAGGAATAGAGGCACGATGGAGCAGGTATTCATACTAAATTCGCTAATTGGGTGGCAGCTGAAGAAGAAAGGAGGGAAGTTATATGTGGCGCTCATCGACTTCAGCGTTTAATAAGGTGAACAGAGAGAAACTATGGGAAAAATTGGGAAAATTGGGGGTTGCTGGAAAGTTCCTGAGGATGACGCAGGAAAAATGAAGAGTGAGGTGCTAGAGAACCGAGTAGTGAGATGGGAAACCCCAGCAAAAACGATGTCGGTCTAGGCGGTTACTCTATTAGCAACCTCTTGCTACTCGGTGCCTGTTGAAAAATTCGATTCAACGGGGAATCGAACTGACAGCCTTCAGAGTACTAAGCTCGCATTGAACCATTGAACTGCCAACGTCGGTCTTAGACCAAATTACAAAATTAACAATTTCCCTATAATTCTGATTCAATCGAAATTTGCTAATATCTTCACATAAAAAATGAAGGATTGATCCCCATTATATATTTTTAATTCGTTTATCGATGAGCTCTGTGCCGCAAAGGTTAGCCAAAAATTAATTTCAAGAACTCAAATAAAAATAAATTGAATAATCATGACCCTGATACGTATTAATTCATTTTTAAATACAGAGTGTTTCGTCATCATCCGTGAGAAATTCTGTTACAGATGTCACAATAAAATTACGTCCGGCACTTGATAAAGATATTTTTGGATTTGTGTTCGTGTCGGCCTTGGCTCGTGAAATTTTGTAGTAGTTGAAACATGGCAAAATTAATTATTGGAGGAATTTAGATTATGTAATTTATTACTATCCATCAAGAAATCCATATATTGCCCGATCTATCGACTATTTAAAAATCTACCGCACTCACTAATTCTAATTCGCTAGCTTGAGAATTTTCGTTCTCTATGGTTTGTGTCTTGTTCTGTTTTCATTTAACTTTTGGTTTTCAACTCATCGATTTCGGCCATTAAAAATTCCAAATTCAAGAATCAATACATCATCACCTAGTACATTACAAACTTAAGGACTTGTAGTATTCTCTTCATTTAATATAAAACAGTCTAAAGGTACGTACTTGTCATTTTTTTGTCTACAAAAATGGTAGTTTTTTTTCTGCGGATTTGGATTATGACATTAAAGATCGAAGGTCAATATAGCTGTGTGCCAGTGTCCGCAAAATATCCAGATCGGCAGACCCATATTTTTCACTTCACACTAACCTTCACTTACGGGGGAATTGGACTTATTAGACCGACTAGTGAAGCCAATCTTACAGTTATTGGGACACTAATGGGTAATAGGCATCACCCTACCCATTGACGGTATTTATTTTGGTAATCGCTGTTCGTAAACACGAGGTTCGCGGTCATTTCAGCCTGGACCAGGGTATAATCGCTGGTGTGAATCTACTAAATAATTGCCATAAAACATGACAGGTCGGAACCGCTGTGCTCCATAAGTTTTGAGAACCTTGACGGTATCGATTCTAGATTTCCGGGAATTGCTGTTTTTTACAATGCCGCAATGATTAACTCATTTTTTTACTGGCTGTGAGGTAAAAAGAAGAAGCCGTCGCGTTAGCACGAATATACACGAGATGAGAAAGAGCATTTATAAATGTTTTTCAACTATTTCCAATTATAATATTTTCAATTATATTATGAAAACACTAAGTTTAAAATGAAATTAAAATTATGATTATATATTAGTTAATCTTTTATGCTATTTGTATTTTTCAAGAGTAATAAAGAAAATGTAAAATATCATGTTTACATTTAAATAAGACGTCTTGAATCACCATCTTTCTAAATAATATGAGTGTAAAGTACACAGAGAAAAAAAATTCGTTCGCCAAGAGCATTTACTAACAATAAGAAAATATATTTGACATTAGTAAATCTTATGGGAGTATTTACACAATGATTGCCAGATTTACTGGTGGGAAGAACATATATTTAGCCAAAGAAATTTTTTTTCACAGTGTAACACAAAAAAAAAGTTTCAATTCATTTTCTCATTTTTTATTAGTTCATCCTCAATAGCACGCTCCTCTGTTCTGTGTCAAGGTCACGAACTCTATTTATTCACCTTCAATGCCGAACCACCGAAATTATGTAAATCGATTTCGGCGGGATGTCTTTTCATTATGTCACTTTCCAAACGCCAACAATAACATTATTGCAAAATCCCACGAGGAATTCCCCTCAACACCTCCCCGCCCCACTCCTCTCCGACTTCCAACCGTATCGATTTAGAGTTTAAACCTCATTGAGGGTTGAACTTCAATTTTCCCAATCGATACACAAATTCTCGTCAAATTTTCGTCACCTGTGTTCAATTAAAAAAATTGTCCCCAACATACAGTTGTAATTGGCGAAATATTGAAATGTTTGAAAGATAAGGATGATCAGTTCAGGTCAAGTGCAACTCTGTTTATTCCGTTCCGCAAATTGATAACGAGCGAAAAGTGTCGAGTACTCACAAAATAGAAGACCTCTGGAGGACAAACATATTCCTTTCATCGGAAGCCAGTTGATCACTGACTCACTCACGACTCACGAACCTCACTACTCTTGCAAGACGTACGAGACCCACGAAACCAAAAAATATCTCTTTTATTGCCGCAGTCCGCACACGTGTTATCCCTAGGTCTAGGGTCCCCACCACGGACCACCATCTAAGGCACCAACTTTAAATTTTTCCGCATTTTCCAACGCCTTTTTTTATAAAAATGGAAAATCTCACGGATTGTTTTTCTTTTTCAATTTATCAAAATTTTAGAAATTTTTTAGGCTAAATTTGAGGCCGTTTTTTTATCAATCCATGAAGAGATAAAGATAAAAAGTATTACCAGTGGTAAAACGAAATGAGTCAACTCAGTTATCAAGGTCAAGTGGCGAAGAGAGATTAATAAATATAGCTTGTGGCTCTCCTGACTCAATTTTTCATAGATATATTCCAATTAAAAAGATATAGCGAAATATAAAATGGTTTGTTTAAATTAACGAAAAGTTAAAAAGTTTAAATGAAGGGAGCCGTTTAAACTTAAGTTTAAATTCCCGGAAGCTGATGGATTAGGGTGAAACGGTTAAAGAACTCTGTGGGGACCCTATATTCGATTTATAACTAGGAGACAACAGGTAGGACGAGCGACGCGGTGGAGGCGGGGAAATGAGTTTTACACGTTAAATGCAGCGTAATCGGCTTCATCAGAGGAATAATAAGGTTGTGTGAAGGGATTGTGAGGACTCTGGAAGATGCTGTGCTATGAGAGTGAGGTGGAGGACGAGCGTCAGGGTGCCGTAAGAATACGGAGATGCACCGATATCTTCTGGTTGTGTTTGTTCATTATTTTTTGGTTTGCTATGGTGAGTAAACAAAAGGTGGGACTAGGTGATGTATGATTTGAAAGGGTGGTTTTTCTTCAGATTATGATCGCGGCTTTTGCTCTTGTATATGGAAACCCTCTTAGGCTGATCAATGGGTATGACAGTTTTGGGAACACTTGTGGTACCCAAAATAATCCAAAATTCGGGGATATGGAATTGTCTGGCCAAGACACAAGTGACAAACCGTGAGTTTCTACATTAAAAAATTAAATATTTCAAATTTTTTGTCAGTTTTATAATATTTGTCTTTAGTTTAATTTTTACTCAATACAAATTAAAACTATTCCTTAAAAACGTATCTATTTTTATTCAAAAGAGAAAAAAAACTGGATATATACATACAATGAAAAAAAAACTCATCATGAATGAACTCATCATCATTGCAGTTATTTATTTTTCCTGGACGTGAAGGACCTGCACCAATCCCTAAAAATTTGTGTGAAGAAATGCCCAGACAGGACGATGAATTACACGAGCGAGGTCTGTCAATTCTATAAAAGGACGGGCTCCCAGCTATGCCACGACAGACCAGAAATTGGTTTTACCGCCTGTTCAGACAATGGAAATCACAACAAAACTGAATACTGTCCCAGGCTGCCCGTCCATGAGAGCATACCAATCTTGAATCGTTGCGTCCCCAAAGCAGCTAAGGAGATACCCTCGAGTCTGGTGTACAATTTGTACAGTTTGCTTAACTCCTGGGACATCTTCGAGCAAATCCTAGGGGATCTCTATAAAACGTGGAGGGAAATATTGGCTCTGTCCTTCCTGGCTTTTGTCTTATCTCTCTTGATGATTGCCATTTTTCACCTGCTCGCTAGTATTGTTACCTGGGTGGTAATGATTTTGGTGAGTGTTGCTTGTGTTAGTGGGACTGGACTCCTATGGTGGACGTACGCAGGAATAAAATCCACCCTGGACGAAACCGATCCCAATCAATTGCTCGAGGAATCAGCGAGGAATGAAAGGGCATTCCTCGCCTTCGCCATTATTGCTACAATTATAACGGTTGTTCTCCTGTTTATTGTCATATTCCTCCGCAATAGAATAGCTTTCATGACAGAACTCTTCAGGGAGAGCGCCACGTGCCTCGCTGAACTACCCGGACTGTTCGTCCAACCATTTTTAACTTTTATTGCTCTCATAATGTTCTACGCCTTTTGGATTACTATTGTTTTGAGTCTCGCGACAGCCAGTGAGTATATTATTCAGTAATAATTAACATGTATTCACATATCGAGAAAGTAAATGGCAAAATCTTCTCCAGAAGTTCCAGAAAAAATTTCGATGAGAAATGTTTAAGCAGAGTTCAAATCATTAATTATAATGGATACTGAATTACAATACAGATTATCCCGGAGAAAAATCCGTCCAGATGTTGAACTCTTCTGGAAACATTCAGCTGTTGAACTCTAGAATCGACAAGGAAGCACTGATCGGCCAGCAAAAACTTGATTTGCCAATCACTCGGTTCAAAAAACTGACTCTTGTTGAGTACGTTGATGCGACGTGGGTGAAGTACATGTGGTGGGTGTACATTATTGGATTCGTCTGGATATCTGAGTTCATAACGGCTTGTCAGGAGCTGGTAATTGCTGGAGCTGTTGCTCATTGGTATTTTAGGTAAGTTAATCATACATTTAAAATCAATTTCATTACCTCTGTGAATTTAAGCGAGACTCGACTCGACCTCAATCCATTTCAATACACAATTGACTTGCAGAGGCAAGGATGCTAATACCTCACCAGTGTGTTCGGCAATTGGAAAGCTTGTGAGCTATCACCTGGGATCAGTGGCTTGTGGTTCCCTCTTAATCACGATCTTCAAAGTACCCAGGCTTATCCTCACGTACATTCACCGAAAAATGGAGACCTCAAGGGAGAGCTCCTCCTGTGCCCAATGTGGCCTCAAATCCTGCAGCTGTTGCTTCTACTGCTTCGAGAATTTCATTCGTTTTCTGAATCACAATGCCTACACAGTAGTTGCCATCGAAGGCACCAGCTTCTGCAAATCCTCCAAGATCGCCTTCTCGACGCTCTCCAGCAATGCCCTACAGTTGGCAGTCGTCAATGGAGTTGGTGACTTCATCCTCTTCCTCGGGAAATGTTTCGTCACCGCAACCACTGGATCCATTGCTCTCCTCTTCATGCGACATGATTCCAAACTCCATTTCTACGCTGCTCCCATATTCATAGTGTGTCTTTTTTCATTTTTCATCGCTCACTGCGTCATTTCACTATTTGAAATTGTTATCGACACACTTTTCCTCTGCGTCTGTGAGGATCAAAACCTCAATGGGGAGAATGGCAGGTGGAGACAGTCCACTTTCGCACAAATCGGGAGGAAAAATATAAGTATTAATGGGCAACATGAGCTCTCTCCCATGAATCAATAGAATTCGATGGACGAGATAAGTGTAACAAACATTCTATAGACAATCATACTTTTTGAAAAATTCTCCTCAATTTTCGAGGAAATTTTTTTGTTTGAAACATTAGAAATTTTACAAAGCATCGATGACATTTATCGATTTTTAAAAAGTAAATGAAACTTCCCACAGAAATTCAATAGAATTTCTTACTGAAGCGTAGGAGTCTTGCTATTAATTCGAAAGAGTGAAAATATTCCTAATTCAGGTAGCCATTTTCATGAATTTCCAATCAATTGAAGACTCAACTAAGTTTAATTTTCGTTTCCAACGTCAATCGTATTTTTATGAATGCGCAATGGGGAATTCAAGCTCCTCTGTCACTGGCAATGAATAAAAAAAAAAAAATAGCAGTATACTGAAATGATAATTTTTAGTATTTTATCGTAACAAAATTTAATATTTTGATATGAAAGAGTTATCTGTTCGATGCAATCGCAGAGGGATTATTTTTATACGGGAATACGATTAGAATCGATTGTACAAATTACAAAGTTGATGACCTTTACCGTGCAATACCGGGTATATTTTTGTAATTTTCAACTTTTTTTCCTGCAAAAATGTCGGAATTCAACACAATTTTGCTTATTAGTATTACTGGAAACATTACGAGGAACTCGTAAGATTCTTTGTGCCTTAAACGAGTGCCTCAATCACTTCGTGCAACTAGCTATAAACACTAATGATCATATTTTTTATATGTATTTTTTTACTATGATTATAAGTCACAAATTACAGCAATTGTCGATTTTTACTTTTAATGATTAACCTTTGTATCACTGGATGACCTACGAAATAGTATTTACCTACATGTCTTTCAATAAAACGAAAAAAAATTTAATGATGTTTTATTATTATCCAACAAATTGACTTGAACGATTCAAATTGCTGAATATATGGTCCTTGAGTACTATACCACATAAAATATTCGAGCTTGGATTTGTTAGAGTCAACAATATTTATTGTTATAAAGTCAACACTAAATAAATAACAACTTCATTAAGAACCGAGTGGACTATCTATCGAACGTGGACTTTTGTTTAAATTTTATCTCTTTAACCTAAAATACATTCAAATTTGGGATCAATTTTGTGTTGTGGGAACCACTTGAATGGACATGAAAAAATAATGAAAAAAAGAGGAAAAATTATTGAAGGGTGGTAAAGATCGAGATTATTTAAGAAGGATTTAGCGGATTTGCTAAAAAATAATGAAAATCACGTAGCTTACTATTGCATCTAGCTGTCACTCAATCTTCTGGAGAACAATAGTAAGCTGCGTAATTTTTATTATATTTTTATGAACTTGGTAAATCCCTTTTAAACAATATCGCCCTTTAGCGCCCTTCAATAATTTTTCCTCTTTTTTTTCATTATTTTTTTATAACCATTCGAGTAGCTCCCGCAACACAAATTTGATCCCAAATTTTGATGTATTTCAAACTAAAAAGATAAAATTTAAACAAAAGATGACATTCGATAGATAGTCCACCCGGGCCTTAACAATATAAAAGACATATGTGTGAAGAGTATGGTACAGTTGTAGTCAGTCAACGAGGTTATGAGGAATGCCCTTCTGTTCTCTCTCCGGAGGTTTCGTGAGAGGTCGATAATATCAATCTCCTGGCTTGGGTCTTCGCTAAACGACGGAGTGACCACAAAACTCATACCAACCGAATAAAAAAAAATAATATTCAAAAATAAAATTTCGATTCGTTTGATTTGATTGAAAAATTCCCATAAACATTCTCTTGTAGTTATTCCTATATTCTCGGCTATTCGATGTCACCTGAGTTCACTCCTCAGTTTGATAAACAATGGCCTATGCCAAAGACACCAAAGACCAATAATTCATAAATTAATAAATTAATAAAATCATGTGAGTACCACAGGTTCATGACTCATCAATATCAATCTCATTCCCTCACCATTTTATTAGCTTTAAAAGTGAGAAGTAAATTAACTCAAGCATCAAAGAACTGAATTTAATCTTCTGTTGTTATTAAAGTTCAATCTTACCGCTGGCTTATGGAGTCTACTGGAATTTTCGTGACGTCTTAACCTTAACCTAAAAATGTGTGCTGGTGACAAACCTAAGACACCAATATGCAAAAAAAAATAACAAATAGTCAGCTGGAATTTCAAGAAATGAATAACAGAAATAAAATAGTGCACTCGTGAGGAAAAAAATCATTCTGAAAATTGGTGGATAATTCCATGGTATTTATTAATCATCGCTTTGTCAGTGAATTTTCTCGTAAGACTCAATAGATTACAAACGACTCCACTCGTTTCCAGTGTAAAAGTTTACTTTGGTCGAAAGTCCTGGAATCATTAAGATTGGAGAATAAACGAGATGACTTGGTTAGCTCCTTGATTTTCATGATAATTGCTTGGAATAATACGTATGATTGAGGATGGGATAAAACGAGAGTGAGTTATGAAATGGTAATTTTCCTCACTCCAGATATTTATCACTCATCTCAAAAATTCACTACATACATCAAAATTTGTATAGAAACATCTAGAAAAATTTATAAAAAATTCGATGGTATTCTATTGATACTGTAGAGAATTCTCGTTGAATTCTAATTGTTTTTTAAGCCCATTCTGTTGGATATTCAATAGGAAATGGTCAATAGATCTGTCGGTTTGAATTTTTGTGAGATTTCATCAGTTGAAATTATTCAATGGGAATTTTAAATGTTTTTCAATTCTATTCTGTTTTGCTCTTGTAGTACCGAATCCAGTGATAATAAAATTTGTAAATTAATTCACTTAAAGCTGCGAATTTAGAATTCAAGCTGGTAAAGCAAAACTTGAAAAACTTCATCTCGCCCTTGTTCTCAATTACTCTTGATCAAGTACAAAATCTGAGAAAAAAAAACAAAAATTACAAAAGTAATAATACTAATAGTGTAAAAGTTAACGATATTAAATTACGTGTGTAATATATTCCAGTTAATATACATAAATTAAATTTTGAGAAACGATAAAACAATTTTTACAGGCAAGTGATTCAAAAAAGCGTCGACTTGATCCGAACGTGACCCAACATCCAGACATGTTTTGCTGGGGCAGTACGGTACACGGTGAATTGGGGCTGGGTGGTATCGAGGACGAAAATATTCGAGTGCCTACAGAAGTGAGTTTCGCAAAAGCCATACAGGTGGCTGAAATATCCTGCGGAGAGAACTATACAGTCTTGATGACCACCGATGGCCACCTCTATTCTTGTGGCAACAACGATTATGGACAGCTTGGGCACCTCCAACCCCGAAAAAGATTTCAGCAGTTACCCTCATTGGACGCTTTCATCTTCAGGAAAATCTCGTGCGGCGGCTACCACACTCTCGCGATAAACGAGTGGGGTCAGCTGTTCACGTGGGGCTGCAATTTCGAGGGCCAGCTAGGACTGAACAGTCAGATACCTATGGAGGAAACCCCCAGGATGGTTAGGACCCTGAATGCAAGTGTAATTGTCCAAGTATCTGGGGGCCTCAAGCATGCCTTGGCTCTCACTAACAATGGCGAATTGTACTCGTGGGGATCAAATACTGAAGGTCAACTAGGCCTAGGGCTCGAGTCTCAAGCACAGCACAAACCCAGACTCATTAGCTCTTTGGCTGGTGTGCCCATCGCCTTCATAGCATGTGGTGGTTATCACTCGGTTGTAGTGTCCAAATCTGGGGCTATTTACGTCTGGGGGAGGAATACTTTTGGCCAACTGGGAATTGCCATTACAGGCAATCTACATTATCCTCATCAACTGAGGACACTCAGGTCCACGAGAATTAGGTACGTTTCTTGCGGAGAGGACTTTACCGCTTTTCTTACCATCGACGGCGGTGTCTTCACGTGTGGTGCTGGAATGTACGGACAATTAGGCCATGGTACAAACAGCAACGAAGTTCTCCCTAGAAAGATTATGGAATTAATGGGTAGTATAGTAACCCAGATAGCCTGTGGGAAACGTCACATGCTGGCTTTGGTACCTTCACGAGGTCGTGTATATGCCTGGGGTCTAGGAGGTGCTGGACAGCTGGGCATCAATGGTGCCAGAAGTGTTGCTATTCCCCAGGTAGTGCTGGGCCCCTGGGTCTCACCAAATGGCAGCTCAATTTACACAATCGACCGCCCCAAGAGCGAATACAGTGTCGACTGCGTTGTCAGGCACATTTATTCCGGTGGGGACCACTGTTTCGCTAGCGTTAGCAAGAGGGAGGAAAATGTAAAGCCAGATGACTGCCGGTACTATGAAAACTTTTCCCAGATTCTCATTGTCACTGAAGCGCGCCTGATGGAATGCCAGCGAGTAGCCATGGGTGAGATCCTCGATCACGACCTCATAACTTATTTGGAGACTGTCTTTAGGAGTCAGGCCTGCATCAATGGCTCTTTCCTTCTGGATGATGATCTACACTACGGATGCTCCAGCAGACACTCTGGAGTAGATGTGGAGAAGGCGTCCAGAATGTTTGGAATGATATCTGACGTTCAGAATGCAACGATTCTTGAACTGATTTTCACATCGATTGGAGAGGGACTCATTCCTTCTTTAATAGCCTCTCCTCCTGATGTGGAGACCCTCAGGGTTTACGTGGTGATTCCACTGTATCATGGGTTTATGGATGTAAACAACAGGGCAATTCTTCAAGTGCCCTTTGCCAGAGCTTTGCAGAGCCTTAAACCGGAGGCTAAGAGAGTCGTTGGCATATGGTGGACTCATGCACCTGTTCAGGTCAGAGTTAGATAGAATTTTTTTACTGATCGTTAGATCTAAATATCACTGAATTATAACGATAAAATAAGTTGTGCTTCTCATTTGTTATTGATACATAATAATTCATCGACTCTTTTTCTTAAATCAACTCGCATTTTTCCATTTGTTTGACTCTCTTTCTGTTTCAGGTATACCATAGATTGATCAGAGCATACAAAGCGATTATTCTATTGGTCCTAAATCAGGCACAGAGAGAGAACAACTCAATGTGCAAGGATCCATCATTAAAAGTAGCCCTAGACGCCCTTCAGTTCATCAACGAGCTAAATAAAACCCAAGGAGAGGGTCTGAGGGTTCCCTACGAAATGTTCTATATGCCAGAACTATCCGAATTAATCAACATTCGAGCCGACTATATAAAATTCTACACTGGTATCGATCTCTACACTATAGGTATTCCCTTCTTCAATTATCCTTTCCTCTTTGATGCCCAAGCCAAGACAATTCTCCTGGAGACTGATCAAGCGATACAGATGCACTCAGCCATGAACGAAGCTGCCAGCAGGAATATCTTCTTGTCTGGAGCGGCTCCTCTAAGTGCCAGACAATTCCTCATACTCAACGTATCCAGGGAAAATATTGTCGCTGATACACTGAGGGAGTTGTCGGAGCACAACTCCAGTGATCTCAAGAAACCTCTGAGGGTGAAGTTCCATGGAGAAGAGGCTGAGGACGCTGGTGGTGTCAAGAAGGAGTTCTTTATGCTTCTCCTGAAGGAAATTCTTGATCCGAAGTATGGAATGTTTAAACAATTCGAGGAAACAAGGACCATTTGGTTCAGCGAGGACTCATTTGAGGGCGAGCGAATGTATTTTCTCATTGGAGTCCTCTGTGGACTTGTTATCTACAATTTTATAATTATCAATCTGCCTTTTCCACTTGCTTTGTACAAGAAACTCCTTGGGGAGAAGGTGATGTTGGCTGATCTGAAGGATTTGTCACCAGTCCTGGCTAAGAGTTTGACGAGTGTTTTGGAGTATGGCAATCAAGACCTTGAGGATATTTTTTGCCTTAATTTCGAGGTGACTAGAGAGGTATTTGGAGAGCAAAGGGTTTATGAACTTATTCCAGAAGGAAGCAAGACTCCAGTGACTATCGAGAATAAGAAGGAGTTTGTGGAACTTTATGTGGATTATGTTTTTAATAAATCCGTGGAGTCACAGTTTGGGGCTTTCTATAATGGATTTCATAAAGTTTGTGGAGGACATGTTCTCAAGTTCTTTCTTAGTCATGAGCTGATGGCTCTTATTGTGGGGAATGAAAATTATGACTGGAAGGAGCTAGAGGAAAATGCGGGGTACAACGAGGGATACACCAAGAATGATCCCACTATTGTTATGTTTTGGGAAATTTTCCATGAGCTTTCACTGGAGGAGAAAAAGAAATTCTTGCTATTTCTCACAGGCAGCGATCGTATTCCTATTCAAGGGATGAAAGCTATTAAGGTGAGAAAACAAACCAGTAGGGAATATATTATTTATAATAGTCGTATATTAAATTCTCCTTTCACTGCGTGAAACAAGGTAAATATTAGTTTAGGAAAAAATACGATTGACAATTATGTCGATAACAATTGTGCTCTTTCAGATTACTATTGAACCAATGAATGACGATAAATACCTACCAGTAGCGCATACATGTTTTAATCTCCTCGATTTACCACGATATCAAACCCGGGAGAGACTCAGGTACAAACTGCTTCAAGCCATTCAACAAACTCAAGGATTCTCACTCGTGTGAGGACAACATGTCATTGCCAATCTCTTGACTCGATGTTTTATATTTTCTGTTATGGCCAGTCGCTGGTCGCAGGTCTATGTCAAAACGGAGGTGATTTTGTTTTTTAAATAAAAAAAAATATGTATATAATTTGCTGTTGGCCTGGCCTAAGCTGAGTTTTTATTGGATTGCTTGGTTGGAATAAACTGGAGGTAATTGAAAGCCATTTCTGGAATGAATATTCAAGAAAGACGAGAGCTTTCCTCCATTTTCAATCCAGGCTTGAAGTCTGAAACATAAGAAAATTAGAGTAACTAGGTACTTGTTAGATGACGCATCTATCATCAGTGCGTGAGGTAAGGCTTATGGCTGCTTATGGGATATATTGTTATTTGTAACCTAAGAGCACAATGTCGACAATGTCCATGTCCAATCGGCTATCCCAAATATACCTCATCGAAGATAACGTTTAAAGTTTAAACTTTAAACACAATCGAAAAGGTATTTTTGGTACGTGAAATGGTCACCGTTCGATTCGTAAAGAGGATGTTCAGTATCTATCTTTAGATATCCGCTGATTATCTTCTAGATAACCTTTTTGTCCACGTGTTTACACCGTTTACACTCACACTCGAGGCAAATAAGAAATTCAATTAATATTGAGTTATTCAAATAAACGAAATAATCCAAATTCAATAAAAAATGAGCACAAGTACTGAAGAAAAGTCATCCGCAAATAAAGAATCATATTCAGAAATGAAGTCCACGAAACGACGACATGCCAATGAAAGTTATATGGAGGTAAGGCACGAGGTTATGTTTTTTCATCATTATTTAAATGTTTAAATTTTCATTAATTTTCTATAATGCTCATAATTTGAATGTAATCAAATTCAGGTTGATAGTGTCAGTGGGATTGAAGGTAAAGTGAAAATGAGATCTGCGTCAAAACGTTCGAAGAATGTTCAAGGAGGTGAACACAGAAAGGTGAGTGATCATTGTCACTTTAAGTTTCCTTAGGATTCAACAAATACATATGTAATGGTTCCACACCCAGAATCAGCTCTAGGTGTGATACTGCGATTATTGCCTTTAATTAACTTCAACATCAAAGATGTCTATTATTAGTGTCTATCCTGGTATCTGCACCTACGAAAATTGAAAAATTTCCTTGAACAAGAAAAGATTTGTCGTTGGATATGGTTAAATATGTTTAAAAATTGATGAAAATTGCTTTTCTTGGAAGATCGAAGGTTTAACAAAATATAGATAAATAAGAAAAAAAACGAAATTGTGAGATTAATAACTTTTGCTGCTTTCGTTTATTTAGATAGCTGTCCCAGCCCACAGATATAGTCCTCTCAAAGAAAACTGGACAAAAATTTTCACACCAGTTGTGGAGCATCTCCAATTACAAATTCGTTTCAATCTAAAAACTAGAAACGTAGAACTTCGTACAGCCCCGGAAACTCCAGACATATCGAATTTACAGAAAGGCACTGATTTCGTCAAGGCCTTCGTTTTAGGTTTTGAAGTGGAGGATGCAATGGCTCTTTTGCGATTGGATGACTTATTCGTAGAGACTTTTCAAGTACAGGATGTGAAACCATTGAAAGGTGATCACTTGTCAAGAGCCATAGGACGATTAGCCGGTAAAGGTGGACGAACAAAATTTACAATTGAAAATGTTACGAAAACTCGAATTGTATTGGCAGATACGAAAATTCATATCCTAGGATCATTTCAGAATATTCAATTGGCAAGACGAGCCATTTGCAATTTAATTCTGGGAAGCCCTCCGTCCAAAGTATATGGGCAACTGAGAAATATTGCCTCTCGTGTTTCAGAAAAATTTTAGATTTTAGTTCACCTTTTTCTCATATTTTTAATGATTATAAACAAAAATAATTTGCTTTTGTTAATTGATGCAATAAGTAATAAATGTAGATGTGGAAGAAAATTAATGATTTATTTAGTTGAATTTATAAAAGTATTTTATATTTATATTTACGTGGTACTTTATTAATAACTAATCTTCCATCGTAACTTAGTGATGCAAAAGTCCAAGGATCTGCTGATGACCACTCAGCAGCGTAGACACTATCTTCATGTTCTTCGTATTTTCCAATTACTCCATCGTCTAACTTTTTATCATTCACTGATTCTTCGATAGTGGTGGTTATTGCCGCGTCATCATTGACCATGTGGCCATATGGCTCTGACGATACTGAAGGAATGCTCGATAAAATAACACGAGAATCACTGCTCGATGTCAATACGAGCTGATCGTGAAAGCGGTTTATCCGAATCTTCCATACCCAATGTGAATGTTCCATCCGGCAAATCACTGGTTCATTGGGGCTTCTTATATCCCAGAATTTCATGTATCCATCATCTCCGCAAGTTGCTAAGATGTACTGCTTATTTATGTTGAAATCTAAATCTCTAAACAGAAATTACTCTATCTAGTAGCTCTATTTATTTTATACATAATCCATATTTGACTTTTCAACCTAAATACTGTACCTTATTATTTGAGAATGAGCTGACAGAATGGTCCAAGCTTCCTCCGATGGACATCTTAAATCCCAACCCCTCACATTATTCTCATTGAGTGTTACAAGTTGATTAACTCCATTATGTGGATTCCATTTACCCGTTGTGAATCGAGGCTGTCCTTTGCCTGCCAGTGTACCAACGGTAGAAAACTTGAAAGTACAATTTAGATAGATTATAATGAAAGTCATTACTCTCGACACTAGTCACTACTAGCTTAATCATTACCTGAGGGGAAGCCTCATCAAGAGTCACAAGAGCGAACTTGTTATCGACCACTGCCACTGCTTTCGCACCATCCATTGGGTGATAGATTATCGTTTTTAATTCATTTCCATAAGGGGTAGTATCGATATCCCCTAATTTAACTAAATTCTTTTCTGCATCATCACCGAAGTCACCGAAATCTGAGAGTCCCCATAGGGCACCTTTCATTACACACATACCCTCTTCTGTAATTTATTCAATAAACCATTCTCATATATTTACAATATATTCTATTCTTTATTATTATTATGAAGCTTTATTATTCACCATTTAAAGTATTGTAAGAAGTAATGAATTTGGCTGGATCTGTTGTGGATGCTTCCAAAGACCATATTTCCCCAATTGCATGATGATAAATTTGAGTTCTTAGTGTGTTAGTTTCATCGTTCAATTCTACCAAGTGTACTTGGTTATTTGCCAATTTCAACGACTGGGTTCCAACCAGGAATCGAACTATGTCAGTTTCAGCATTTTGGGCTGATAGAGCTCGTGCCTATACAAACAATTTAATTGAATAATTTCATTATCACTCCTTTTGGCAAAAAAGTCATTGAATTTATTCGAATAATCACCTGAAATTCCAAGCCATAAATGACAGGAGTGCTGTTATCCATATGGACGAAAGACAAGCAACAAACAACAAGGAACAGCTGCTTTTCGGAGCACTTTGTTTTATCACTCGAAAGATGATTAACCTCAAAACTCCAGCTAATACATCAGCGTACAAACAAGAAGAAAAAATCATATAATTCTAGGAGCCTCATTATCCATATCTTTCGTTTTTTATTATTTTATGGAGGATTTTCATTAGGAAATAAAAATTCAAAGAGGACACCATCAATTTGTTGACAAAAGATACATACTGCAGGGTACTACATCTACTTCCTACATATCATATACATATGCCGTAACAATAAAAAATTCTTTTGGTATTTGGTTATTGGAAATGAAGGATTTGAAACGTGGTGGATAACGACATTGGCGGAGGTCGAAGAGGTCGAGGGGCTCGATGAGGTGAATTGAAAATAAATTGCAGAGTAGGGGAAGAGAGTGGGACATCGAGGTGGATTGGTAGATGGTGGTGGAGTGCGTGGACCTGGACATCCTGTACATATATATATGAGCAGTAGTAGTATATAGTAGCAGCAGCAGTAGAGCAGTCTAGGAGGTGAGGTGAGGAAGAGGGGAAGTCTCGAGCGCGTGAGCGTGAGCCGTGCCAGCCGTGGTAGTGTGCTATCAAGCTGAGCTATCAAGCTGAGCTATACGAGAGCTATGTACGTTCACTGCGCGGCACCGGGTCACTAAATCTAAATTATACCAAATAAAACCACAGTCTCGTGCACTATAGTCGCTTTCCTGGTCTCTTATTCAACCCAAGTCAAACACAAGTGCTACAAAATACCCCACAGTGCTCCGTCATAAGTTCTCCTCATTTTTATCATCTATTCCATTTTTATTTCATTTCATACCCACCACCACATCAAAACGCGAGTTCCAAACGATTTCTCATCCTTCAAAATAGTGTCCAGACATTATTACAATACTAAAGGTTATTGACTAAACTCTCATAGAATAGACAATTTTTCAAATAATACACGCATTGAACACAATTGATTACAAATGATTGACAAATAAGGTCACTTCTGATGAGTTATTTTTCATAGATCCGTCGTATGTTTCTGTTAGGGAGGATGATGTGGTTTGTGGAAGAAAAACGTCTTCATGAATTCTAGCTATTACTTTAGATATCTAAGTGGATTACTCATTTAAAATTCATTAATTATACATGTGTTTGTTGAATGGCGAAATGTCGTGAAGCGTCGGAGAAATAATTAAGTGGAAAAATAAAAACGTTATGCAGTGCGAGTGTGAACACCTGTGCACTTGTATTGTCAATCGAACAGTGTGAGTATTCCACCCATTATTATTGAATTAAATCACTCGGCTGCAAACCGTTGCATACCGTTGTTTCAGTGAGATTTTCATCACATGCAATAATTCCAACAAATATTTTCATTCATAATTTGTTCCATTGTATGACAGTTAGTTACGATTAATTGTGTGCAATATTCTTTTTTTTTTTATAATTTTGTTTAATGAGTTAAGTTCACTCTGAGAATAGATTTAATTTCAGGGAATGAAGATAAATTGCACGAGGTTAGTTCGCTCGCTTACGAAATGTATTGCATGTATATTCCTTCTGAATTGTCCTTAAAGTATGGCACATGGATATGAAATGGTGATTTCCAATTAATAGGGAAAGATCAAGTGAAAACAATAATTAATTTTTCGTTGATAATTTATTGTTGAGCAATGGAAGACAAGTACTATTCTGCTGTTCATGCATTAATTATTAAATCTGTGTCTCAGGTTGTCTCACGGAATTGACAAAATGATTTGGGTGACTCGAAAAAATGATTGCTTTGGAAGAAGCCAATGCTCATTAGAAACTGACTAAATGACTACATAATGAAATAAGTAATTTAAGTCTCAGTGTTGAGTATACGGTAATTAGTATTTACGCATTTAGATGGCTCATTACTAGGAATGGTGTACTGAAATTGTCTGTCGCTTAAAAGACAAATCTAGGAGATATTAGCCTTTGATTTCCCCTTGGGTTATTCAAAATAATCCAGAAACATCATCGATACAACTTTTTTTTCTCCAAGCAAAAACTGGGATTTACTGGGAGAAAAAGATAGTGGAAAATGAGTAAGTGAAGAATGATTTTTGCATGTGATAGTCGTAAAATATATCCAATAGTAAATCAATAGCATCTGCTCCGTACATTTTACATTTTTATTTTGCCGACAATAGTCAGAATACCAGACATTATGTTCAGGTAATTCATTAGAAGTCTATGAAATCGTTATTTTCAGGTCCACATGAGAACACAAAATAGGGAAAATTTGGGGCTTATTTTTCGGAATTGTTGAGCTGCTGGAAATTTAAAAGAATATACTGTGCAATTTTCATAAGAAGACTAGAACGTCAAGCTGCCCTTGAAATATCGGCGATTACTCGCCATGACAATCCAGAGCTTTATTGAATTTTCCAGATGAATGGAAACTTTAATGAACGATGTAATGTTAAAGTAAATTAAACCCTACAACAAGGAGACCTCACTGAGAATTAATCTGTCATACGCATAATGAAGGACATATTTTCTAATATTCATGTAGGGAACCCACTAGAAATACCTTTCGAATATGATACACATTCAATTGTAGAGAAATAAAAGACCATAGAAGTTAAATAAGACCGGAAATTTCGTTGACTCTTCGTTACGCGTATATAGCTATTTCAAATAGGCACAATAGAATATCCGTGTTAGTTTGTAAAACTTTATGTCACCTCGATATACTTTCGAATATTTTAGAGCTATTAATATTGTGAATGAATTTCCGCACTATTTTTCGTATATAATATTCTTTTGAATTCACATCCGGATCGAATAAACAAGACAATTTAAACTGACTAAAAAAATTTTTTTTTTTAATAATAAAATAAAAATTCCCTTAATTTAAATATCAATGAAAAATAATATGAATATCATAAAAACATGAAAAAAACCTTGAAAAAATAATGATTTCCTTTACCTAATGTATAACACATAATCATGAAGAAGACAATCATAATTATTCTTAATCACTCGGTCACATCATAGCAGCGTGCAATAACAATGCAATTAATTCAAATTGGACTTGTTTGCAGTTACCGATTGAAAGGTGAAGAACAAAAAAAGTAGAATCACGAGCGCTTTCTTATTTTTATAGTACACCTGTTAGTTTTTGAAAGTACGCTCTTTTCAAGGGGGGGGCCTGTGTGTCCAGAAATTTTTTTTTAATTCTCTCTATATATATTGGATGTAATCATTGTAGATGCCTTCTGCGGCTCCACAGATATTATACATGAATATATTACCGTATTATTACCGTATTGTCCTCGCCGGAAGTGTCCCAGGAACTTTTGATCAATGTATCAGTATGTTATTGATTTCCGTACCGATGTACAGATGTAAAAAATGTGAATATAAAATATCGTGGAAGGCGAATATACCAACATTTGTTTAATTGAAAAATTTATAAGATCATAGAAATAATTTCTTCCTCTAAATATGTCCTCTTCTGACAATAAATATTTTCATTAAAAAAAATTAGAAAATGTAAAAATAAAACTGTGACAATACTTTCATTCAGAACAAATCGAAATAGTATTCAACTGAGTTTTCATTACTAACACATTATCAGCTCTAATTTCCACAATGATATGCAATATATTTTTCTTATTGGTGTACTTTCTACGCTATATTCATTTTAGTTGCCTATTATGAAATGAGAAAACAATTTGAATTGATCAGCCACATAAGGCAAACCACTGGATGGCATTGGTGCACTTTCTATATCATCAAGCTTCAGTGAAAATTATGGAAAAAAAAATTTTTAACGTTTTCACACGTTTTTTTGTTGCAGGTGGTACACAATGAAGTTTAAAGGGGAATTGTCCCATTAAAAAACCGTTAACAATGAGATTGATGCAATGAATGGGTCTTCTAAGTGGTGTAGTTCAATTCTATTATTTTCATGTATCATAGGACGAATGATACTAGGATCAGCTGGTGAAAAATGATGACTGCAATGGCGAGATTACCCTGTAAATCAACGAGTACTCAACAGCAACCGCCATTTCCACAGGGCAACAATAGTAACGGTAATAACAACCGAAATTATTGGGATATGCAGATACAGCCATCGGCACCATCGACCTATACTAGGGCTCAACATCGCCCGATCATTGATCATACTGGTAAATAGGAACTATTTTCTCCCCCTCCTAGTCAACACAAACGACAATGATTTACTGAAAAACTTCTCTACATTTTAGCAGCTTTCCTTTTCATTTCAGGCAAAAGAAAGAGCGCAGTGGAATTGCTGCAAGAATCAAAAGCCTTCTACGTAAAAAGTGAAATAGTTTTGGATAGAAAGCAAGAGCTGAAGAATAGTGGACATCTTCAAGTTGCTCGGTCAATAAACACCAGTACAGCACCTCGACTGTTAAGGCAGTGTAAAAATTCACCTTCATGTACTCGTAATCTTCAGCAACAGCAGCAGCAGCAGCAGCAGCAACAGCAACTCCAACAGCAGCAGCAGTCGCAACAGCAACAGCAACAGCAGCAACCGCAGCAACCGCAGCAGCAACAGCAACAACAACCACAACAACAACAACCACAAGTATCACCACCACCACAACAACAACATCACCATCATTACCATCATCACCATCATTTAGCGATGATCTGTAGTGGTCCTGGTTCTGGTTCTGGTTCTGGTTCGATTGGTTGCTGTCGTTCGATATTGATACCAACGTGCGGAGATAGGGGCGATGCTGTTTTGAGTCCTCAACGTACACTGCCACCGGCATTACCGCCAAAGAGTCCCAGACTGATATCAGCACCACAGCGACGGGGAATAACTGGCCTTCAAAGTGGAGTGGTGGGTGATCAACTTCAAACAAAATTACGTAAACTGTTGAATACAGATAGCAAAGAGAACATTCATTTTGTCGATACCCCAGGATCACCAAGTAGCCATGGGGTATATGACTGCGGCAGCGGTAGCAACAATGCCACAACACTTCCACCGAAATCTCTATCCTCATCCTCATCTCCATTGCCATCTCCAACCGCTCAATTATCTCCTATTGTTAATTGTCAATTATCACCTCCATCGGCACAATCGAATCATGAAATACGATTGAAATTTGGTAGAAGTAATTCTCATTCGCATACATCGACAAAAACTAATGATAAATCAAATAGTGGAGTGAGTTCACCACCAACGATTTGCCAGACTACTATTTGCCATAAATCATTACCCGATCTTCATAAAACTGCACGCAGTCGGACATCTTTGTCGTCGAGCAAACCGATTCATATTAATTATCGTGATGATTGCCCTGATTGTGAAACGAGTTCGGATTATTCTGATCACAGTTTCAAGAGAGATTCTGTTTGTAATAAAAGTTCGAGACACATGAGAAGATCTCTTGGCTCGTCGGGGGGTAACGATACAAGCAGTATTTTATCATCGGGTGGACGTACTCAGAAGTCATCAGGCTCAAGTAAACTCAGTCATGGGGCAACAGCGAGGGATTCAGGGGGTTCTTCAGGGCACTGCACTCATCGCAGTGAACCCCCACCTAGAATGCAAGAATGTTGGGGACAAATACGACGAGACAGTGGAGCTTCTACACAACATTCCAACGAAAAATATCGGTTTAGGAGAGGCAGCAGTCATGCAAGTGCTCCCAATGAAAATCCATCATCAATTTTGACGACTTTCAATTGTCATGATCATTCCGATAGCAGTAATAGCCCCATTGATTACAGTCCAACGTGTAATTCAAGATTCTCAGACGGATGGAAAGAGGGACGTGCTCGTCCAATTTTACGCTCAAAATCTGATATTAGTGATCGCTACTGGCGATACGATAGTAATGATAGGAGCTATGAGCGCAAAAAACAAAAGCAACAGTTGCAACAACAACAACAGCAACAACAACAGCAACAGCAACAGCAACAGCAACTATTACCATCACCGCCACCACCACCGCCACAGCAATTACGACCACCAAAGTCCGGCATTGAATTGGAAAATTTCTTTGATCGTCTCGGTCTTGATTCGGATAATTACCAATATGTAACTGTACCAACATCAAATACCTCTTCTCCCGTATTTTTTGATAGTGTCAGTTCTGTTGATTCAGCACTTGGATTATATCCGTGGTCTGGTAATAATCAAACAAGCAGCAATAATGACGGACACTGGCAGGGAAATAATTGCAGCGCAGGAAATGAAGAAACTAGTCAGAGAGTGAGTGATCCACCGAGTATCGTTGAGAGAAACGCTAGAATAATAAAATGGTTGTGTCAATGCCGAAAGATACAATTTAGTTACAGTTAGATAGAGGGAAAAAAGAGGTAAAAAAAAACTGGTGCTCATTTTTAAATTACATGTTCTCTATTCACTGCACGTGCCATCACAGCTTGTCATTAGTCCTTTTTTTCTTCATTAAAAATGCTTTTTTCTTCAGTCGTACATAGATCACCTTTTTTTTCTTCATTTTCAAAAGTCAGAGTAATTGAATTGAACAATTGAACAATTATAGTCATTGAAAATTATTTATTAACCGTTTCATCTCATGTTTTTTGCTTTTATTCAGAGATATATTGTAGTTATTCTGTTGATTAATAATTCTTGATGTTGAAATTTGCTATTATTATACGGTAACAAATTAATGAATGAGCATTGAGAATTACTTGTGTAAATTGAAAATATTTAAGAGACGGCAAAAAGATCAGAGGGAGAGTAATTTACATAATGATAAATATTTACTGGAGAGATTTGAAATTTTATTGGTGTATTGAGACGGAGAAGGAGAAGATAACTATCTATTCATAGTAATTTTTATCTTTGTGTACTCTCCTTTGTCCACTTAATTTTTTAAAAAGAAAGAAATAAAAAAATTGTCACGCATTTTTCGATTCTTGTGATTCAGATATTAGTAATGAATAATTATGTGTTAATTTCTATCTGTATATATTTCAATTCCGGTGTGCAATAACCGGCGAAATGCATGCGGGCAACGACCAGTTACTGCACCCTAAAGTATAAAATGTATTTTGACAATATAGTTTTCCAAAACGAAAGATGTTTTAAAAATAATTAAGGAAAATGCCTTGGAAAAATGTGAAAAAAACTCAATTAATTGTTGATTATCCATAAATGTGTTTTGAGAAAAAAATAATGGATCATTTCACGTAGCCATTACGATTAAGATCAAAAGTTGCGTGTTGACATTCCGAGAATACAATGAATTGAAAAGTGATTGTTTGAAGAAATATATTTAATGATGATATACATATATATTTTTGTTTTTTTTGGGGGGGGGGGGGCAAAATGCAAGTGGCAAGTGCCCCAAAATGAGTATAAAGCTAATAGGTTTAGACGCAGTTTATCACGACTCATAGAAAAAAAGAGACAAGAAGATATATAACTCATAATATTCCGAAAAAATCCAAATCAAAACGATTTTATAAAATCATCTGACTCTTATTGTGCATTGCATTCACTTCGTAAACTCAAACAGACTGATTTGCAATATTTTTTACAATACAATATATAATCAGCAATTGCACATTTTTTATTGACGAATTCATGCTTCATTCACCAAATTCCATTTGGTGAATTGAATTTAATGCACGGTGTAAAATTAACGGGTGCGCATTTAAGAAAAAAAAACCAAATCCATGCAATTTGTTCTGCTGATAACGTGAAATATTAATCGCTACTTCCTCTATTACTCAAGGACATGCGAATCGTACTCTTAAGTATATTATAAATAAAGATCGACAAGAAATGTATATTAAAATTTGTGAAAATATGAGATAGCGTGATGAAAGATAGAACAAGGCACAACGAACGATCATTCCATATATGGGCCAATTGTTATAGGAAAAAAAAGAAAAGAAAATATGCGAGAGTGAATACAGCAATACTTTTGAAAGAAACCGCTTAAGGACCGGTTGGATTATCTGGAAAAGATAATCTACTCCAAAATTGGGATTCCTAATTACTCTGGCAATTAATCGTTGTTTTTTCAATAATTGTTAGCTAGCGTTCTAGCGGTTGTCAACGGTCAACGACTAGAACACTAGCTAACAATTATCGGAAAAAACAATTAATTGGCGGAGTAATTAGGAATCCCAATTTTGGAGTAAATTATCTTTCCGAGATACTTCATCCGGCCCTTAAAGTACTATAATATGTGAAGCTTCTCTACATAATTTTAACGCCGAAATATCCGATATTCGGAGTTATTCAGAGAATACATCAAATATGTCCAAATACTGTACAAGTTTAAGTTTATTAATTGCTTCGATCTAATAAAATTAAAGTTATACGAACATTTTTAAATCGGATATTGGATTCGAATTCCAAATAATTCAAAGTTTATCTTTTTTTACGTTGAACCCATGGATACTTGATAGCTTAACATGAAATTAAAAAAATTTTATTCTAGTTCCAATATGTATTCTCAAAAAAAGAATAAGTCGACGAATTAAATGATCAATTTCTCTTAAATTTTGATATATTGATCGAAAACGTGGAAAATAAGGAAATACAATAATTAATTAATTAATTATTTACATAAATTTGAAATTGAAATGGTTGGAACCCTATTCGCTCACTCATGAATCAAAACTTATATTATACAGCAATGCATCGAATAGAAAGATATATACCATATATACTCAATAGTCCTTATTCCAAATGCATAATTGAAGGATTGTGAAGACAGAATAATTAAATTATGTGGAAATACATAGAATTACTCACTTATTTAAATTGCAGTGCACGGAAGACTCATTTCAACAATTGGATATTGTCGATGCATTTTGTATTTTATTTAAATTGAAAATTAATAATAGAATAGACGTTATACAAATGCATTGTTTGAGAAAGGAATAAATAATAAAAATCGTTACATCGCATTCAATCAACACTTTCAACGTTGATATCTCTTATTAACATTATCTCTCTTTTTTCTAATATTTATCTAGTCACGTGAATAATGTAATAATCATTATAATCATATGAAACATATGATTTAATTTGAAGGTATAGTTTTCAGTAGGGAGTCTTGTACGATTTAATAAAATAAACAACAGATTTAGTTGTTGTGATTAACTGTACTTCTGTATTTCAAAATATCCATAACATCTGAATAAATAAATCATTGACAATTAAGCACAGACAACGGTTTTACCGTTTTTTCCCTCGCTTGTTACAACATTTAAACAATTGGACGAGATGAATAATATTGTGACCATATTACGATTGTATGTTTTTGGTAGAACTTCTCTATTGGGTATTGGTGTAATAAAGTAATAAAAATATAAATTATTTATCATTTAAATATCATTAATTAATAAGATGGTATATATATATGCATATATATGACGGTAATTTATCTCGGCAAGAAAACAAGGAATTTTTGTAATTTTTCTAGTTATCAACCGAGCGAGAGCGAAAGATCCAAAAAGCCATAACCTCTAAAAAAGAGAAAAGCCAAAATATGTGATAAGTAAATGGGTGACTTTGGAGATGAATAATAAATAAAAGGAGGACAAGAATTAACGAATGAACCGAATCAGATTAAACAGAAAATTAGTGAAAATGTCACATTCATATGAACGTTATTGCAATAATTATCACAAACATGTAGAGCTTCATGAGAATTTGAAATACAAGAAAAAATACAGAACACTCAAGAGAATAGTGAAAAATCTTGTGTTTGTAAGTATCTAATTTGCATAATAAAACCAAAGGGTTTACGGATAGTTTGGTTTTAATGGATAAATTGCAGGAGAATGCAGCACTTTGCGATCAAGTATCTGATATGCAGGAGAATCTCGTTGTAGTGAATGAAGAACGTTTATTTTTACTGCGAAAATTGTGTCAACTTCAGGGAGAAACTGAACTATCTGCATCCAGATCTCAATTGAATTTCAATAATCACATCAATTATTCGAATATTAGTGGCGAGGTGGTCGCAAAAAGAACGAGTAGAAAAAAATCTCCCAGTGATAATTTGAACAGCCACAGTGGTATAAATATTGGTAAGCGAAAATGTTATTTTCTAGTAGGAAAATTAAGGAATTTCCCAACCAGCTAAGGGAGGCCCGAGTAAAATTGTTAATCACCTAAATTACTAATGGATATTCTCAATCATCTGTCATTGTATATGAATTATCTATTATCTTAATTACCGCGTTAAAACATGCTTCAGTTACTAATGGTTCCAATTGGTATTTCTCTGGTTTGAACAAAATATTACTATTTCGTCAACTTTGGATTTTTTTTTTGGAAATTTTATAGAAACCCTGAATCATATTGAAGTGAAAAAATATACCGTTTTTAGGTTTTATTATTATTCAATGACTCATAAATTTTTAGTCGTGGGTGTATTTTTCCGAAATTCTGCTAAAGTTTTGTGAATGTCTATCAAAGTTTACTGAAAACGGAGGAAAATTCTTGTGCGGTGACGCACTTCGTGAGGTATTGAATAATAATTATAAAACTCAAAAATGGTATATTTTTTCACGTCAATTTTATTTAAAAACAATGAAAAATACGAAGACATCGGCAATAACAATAACAGTGAAAATGTGGGCATTCTATTTTGTCCCAATACCCCCGATATTTATATTCGATCCTTTCGATTTGCAAGAGACAAAGCCAAAGGTAAAGCGGTGTGGAAAAACAGCAAAAAAATTAGTTCAGCTGATACCTCTTGATGTTCATGGAAAACCACGTTTTCCAATTTCTCTCGGTGATTTGAGTGTTTATTCACTCGGAGAAGTAATAACGGACAGAGTTGCCTATCACACTGAAGATCACATTTATCCAGTGGGTTTTTGCAGTACAAGGGTCTATGCCAGTCTGAAAAATCCACGAACTAAGACTTTGTACACCTGTAAAATATTAGATGGTGGTTTACATCCGAGGTAAAGTATAAAACTTAAATTTTCATAGATTGAATTCCAACTAAAATATTATCATCAAGAATATGATTAGCAAATGCAAATTCATTTCTAGGTTTGAGATAGTCTCAGACACTGATTTAGATCAACCATTGATGGGAGCAAGTCCTGATGAGTGTCACGGCAAATTATTATTGGCAATATCTCCAATACTCTGTAATATACTGCCGAAAGGTGGACATTTCTTCGGTATTTCTCAGCCAACCATTCAGAATTTAATCCAGAATTCGCCTGGAACGAGAAGACTGGCTCATTATAAACCCCAACGTTTTGAAGTAATTTAGTCTTTTTTTTATATACATATATATATCGTCATTTTTACCATATTTTAAATGTTTTTTTTTTTCATTAAAAAGGTGAGCAAGAACCAATCCAATGAGAATGGAGTGACTGTCTTAACTGAAGAAGAACTGGATCCCGGAATTAATTTTGCTACATTACACCAAACTTTTGTATTCGTCTCTGATTATGGAGTTAAAGAAGAACCTTGTGAACATGATGTGTAGATAATTTTCAATCTCATAACGATTAATAATATGCTATTAGCATTGAAAATTTAAGTAGGCTGGCATTAGAATTAAAGGAAGAATGACCACGTGATTGTTTTCCTCTCATCAACGTATAATTTTGTAAAAAGCATTACTTACTTACGTAAAAAAAAAATTAAACCTAGGGTACACATTGTTATTTACATTTTTCTACACCTTTGCATTTGATTAATTCAATGGAATTTACCAGAACAATTATCCAACAATTATGCATTACTGACAGACGATTTGTTAAATGTGAAGAACAACTCTTCCTTATGAAATTACAATTGATCTTTGTTGTTGAATTGATGGACTAGTTGACTGTCGTGATATTGATCATTACAGCAGTAATATTATCCTTCACATCTTACATATAATTTGCTATTAATGGTTTATAAAATAAAAAGGAGCGATACGTGCAATCATTATTATTGCCAGTTGGTTCATTGAAAATTTTCCACTGATATATTTTTTTTATCTTACAAATTATAATATTTAATTGCGCAGCGTAATGTCCGTTATTATTACCGATGCTGTACTGGCCCGATTGTTTTATTGAAGAGGGTATTGGCAATGGCAATAACAGGAGAAAATAATTTTAGTGGGAAGTCACTGTAATTTAAAAATAACATTACACATTAGACAATAGAAAATCATTGGATTTCTGAAGAAAATGGCTATTAAATGTTTACCAAGTTCCCGTTACTGGTTGAGCCTCATTTCCACTAACAATAAATAGTGGAAATAAAATAGAAAATACGCAACCACTGAAACATTAAAAAAACATTAAAAACTGACAAATTATTCACGTGGATTAGCGAGTCAAATGAAATGAACAGCAAAGAGATATAGGATGTTAAGACGACTTACTTCTCAGTTGAGTTTTCAATGGATATTTCTGAATCTAAGAGACATTGCAACTTTTCGCGAATTTTTCTTGGGGGCTTTTTTGTGATGTTGAATGGGAGACACAATAGTTAGTTACAATAAAGTGTGTGTCTCTCTTGAAATGAGAGATGTTCCTCCAAAAATTATTTACTAGCTGAATCAAATTTGTATATGATATTACCTCACCTTATAACATGAGAATTTGGTAGCTGTGTTAAAAGAGCTAATGGTAGGCCAAATCCAACGAAATACGGCCAATTAGCTTCGATGAATGTTAGACGTCTATGTAGCTCCCATCCCATATTAAACCACTTATATTCGAATGCATAGAGCGCATACAACAGACACATGTGTATTAACGCAAGCAGATCGCCAATTGGTGGCAATGGTATCCTCGATACGAGCATACCCTGACCAAGGAATAAAGCCTGAACGAGAATACTGAAGAGTGTATCAGCTATTAATTTGCTAACACTCGATAGCAAAAGAGGTCTTCCTTGTCTGTATCTGTATGCACTGTCAGCTATATCCTAACAACATATAAACCTGTTATTATTTCATACATATTTTTTTTCGTTTTTCATGAGGAATACTTCTTTTTAACAAGTTTTATTAATAAGTGTTATGTAGTTCATTACTATGCATACCTGAAACCATAAGCTGTTAACTATTCTACTCAATAAAAAAAGTGGTAGAACCCAGACAGTACCAAACGTCAGCGATAAAAATGGCTGTGTCCATGACCACACCGTCATACCCATACCGGGTGAATGTCCAAAAATGATCGTTAAAAAATGTTTCAAAAGTGGCAATAATCCACACTCGAAAATAAGAATGCTAGCCCAGAAAACCCCGCCATTCAAAGCGCAGCATTGAATTGTCCTCTTCAATATCTTCGATTCTCTGAAAAATAAAAAAAATTATTTTCATTTCACGAAGAAAATAATAATTATTATTTCATTAGTTTATTGAAATAAGAAAATTCCTTCTTTAAATGGCAATTTGAACAATTTAGTTAGTATTCGTTTCAATCTTTTGAAGTTCAGCGATAAATAATTATCTCGTCTTTCGTAGATGATTATAGTATAGATAAGTACCTCTGTTATCTTACCTTTGTCCTTTCAATGCTACTTTTGGACTAGAATTAGTACTTCTTCTATCGATTCCACTTGGCGATGCTCGAAGTCTTTCATTAATACGTTTATCCATGTAAAAAAGTACCATAGCACCCTTAAGGCTATCTGTGAAACCAGTGCAGATGGCTCTTAATATTCCCTGTGAAAGATCCATTATGTGATATTTCGTTTTTTTCAAATACTTATCAACCAATTATTAATATGCTTATTCGTAGTAATTGAGGTTATAAGTGAATTCATTAAAGAGCAAATAATATTCAAACTCACTGTTACATTATCCATTATTGATAGTAAATATTTGTCCTTGAACTTTAATTTATTACAGATGTTTATAATGAATGAATTTCAATACTCGTGAGTGAATCATCTTTATTATTTTACGTTCATGTGTTCACTTTACTTTATTTTCAACATACACATATTAGTCTTTTGATAGTAAGATGAAATTAACAGTTTACTAGGTAAAATTTTATGGAGATATCGCTTGAGTCGATTTACGAGAATTTGGAGACGGAGTTATCTGGGAAATGTTTATTTTTAATTCATCTCAGGGGTGCCATTAAGTTAAGGACAGTTTCTGTTTTCATTGCACTAAACTAACTGCTAATGCGGACAGAAATCAGTCGCGTTTAGGATACCTTGAAATTCTTATTATTTTTCCTCCTCAAGATGGCGCAGTACGTTTATTCCGTCGGTTTTTCAAACGAATACTGCTTTCATAGCACTATCCTATTAACCGATAAAATCCTACTCTTAAACAAATAATCATATAAAATCATTTATAATTTATGAGCAGGTCATTGTACATCCTTTTTCTATCTCCAAGAGTTAATGAATCTTTTGTAACTAATTAATCAACATATTACATGAAAGTGGCCGACAAATTATTTAAAATTCCATTGTTTTATTTATTTTTTTTTTATCGATTGGAAATAGTTTGTGGAATCCAATTTACTTAAATTTATTGTTTAAGGGCAAAAATTTCGCCTCTAATAATGAAATTTCCTCATACCAGAATTTGTGATAACCCTCGTTTTCTCTCCCCGGCAGAGCACTGTTGTAAAAATTATAGCATCAGATATGGGGACTCTCGGAGCTCACCGAGCTCTCAACCCCAATTAGGCTAATGACCACGAAAAAGGGGTCCTATTATTTTGTGCAAGTAGTGGGGATTGGCGAGACCCAATGCTTGCCATAATTTTTGTATAGTCTTCATAAAGAGTCCTTTGCAACGGCAATCCATAGAAAACTTTAAGTGGATTATATCCAATGGTGTTTATGGATCCCATGAAGGGTTTTTCAAATTGTAATTCATAATTTTCTTTTAATCAAATCATCGTTTGTTTTTTGTATACCTATGTATGACCTATGTCCGGACTTGACATGTTCGTATTGTGTATGACGGAGAACATTAGCTTCGGGGAAAGTGGGGTCTTGAATTTCACCTCTCCCCATATTCTCTCCCTTCAATCGCTCTCATATATGTTGACATATATGACGCACCTTCAACATGAATTTTATTACCAAATTCTTGCCTTTTTTCACCATTCAGATATCGACAGGCATTACCATGGACTTCACGAAATGTATTTTGTGTTTTGACATGAATAATGAGGTCGGCTCCTTGTCAAGGTAGCCATGTAAAGAATTACGATACATTTCTAATCTACGTTTTCCTTCACTCTTCGAGTAATGTTTCTTTCTTAGTGAAGTGTTGATTTCGCCCCTACAGGAAAAGTAAACACAAGGTAATCCATATTGAGTATAGAACTCATCAGCAATTTCATTTGCCCACACTTTTGCATGCAGTGTATGATTCATCATTTTTCTCTCCGTATCATTACAATCCTCTCCTACTGCTCCTGCGTTAACACTAATCGAAACCAAGATTCTCCTTTTTCGCCTTCCGAGTCAGAACCATGAAACGAGATATCACTTCCTTGAGGAGAAGAATTATGTTTATGAGTTCTTCTGGGAATTTCAGTGGATTGAATTCCTAAATTCCTTCGTGCTTGAGTTGAAATATCATTCCACCAATAAGATAGACTACTCCAAGTTCCATCAAAAGATTCATTAGCTGTTCAACATCAAAAAAGGATGTACAATGACCTGCTGACGAATTACAAACGATTTTATATGGTTATGCGTTTTAGACAGGGCTGGGCGGCTTGGAGAGCAAGTCGTGCTCCCGACCACTATTAATGAATAATAAAGAGTAGGCCTCCTCCGCTGAAATCAATTTGAAGAGAAATGTCGTTGAAGAAAAAAACCGAAGAAATGAGTCAAAAATTGAGAATTTGAAATTTCCCTTCCTATGACATTTTTATTTATTTTAAAAGCTGACCTTACAAATAAAAGCTAAGAAAAGCCTGTTCAATTTCAGAGGTGAGGAACAAAATCTACAATATCATGTTCCAGTGGTCCTGCAATTATATATTCAGGACACAAAATTGATTGAATTAAAAATGTAAAACGTAAAAATGTAAAAATGATAATAAACGTGTTTCTACCCTCGCTTCGCCTAGATAAAATGCGTTTTCGGCTACACTGCCATAAAATAGCATCATAGCCACGCAAAAAAGGGATTCACTTTTTCCGTCCTGGGCGTGAAAAATACTATTTTGACAGTGATTTTACGCTCAGCGAGTGCCGAACTGTGCTCTTTTCGATTACTAGAAGATTACGAAACGTTCTTCCGTTTACTTTTTATTTACGAGTAAACGAAAAGGCACCTTTCGGCACAAGGTGAATATAGCAGCAATGTTAAAAATATTAATTTTTTATACAAGGAAAGAACATCAGCCGGTAAAGACTGCAGAGACTGGTAATTGGATTGAAAATTTTACTCCTATGGTAATATTGCATGGCCACTGGGCTGATTTCGAGTTTTTGGAGCTTCGAATAGATGGCACTTACTTGGATTTTACTATGTGAAAACTTACGAGTGATTTCCAAAGAAATGTGATCGGTGGGTAATGCAACATGTGCAAGATATATATTTGTTAAATTTCAATAACAATACAAAGAGGCTGAAATAAGGATAAATTGTTCAGTAAAAATGAGTCACGTTGCTGCCAATAACGAAGTAAGTGTAGTCCCATGAATTCTCTCAAAATTTTAGTGGAAAGGAAATTGAAGGTTATAGAGTCATTTAACAGTGTTTAAATCATCAACAATCATTATATAAAAGATTGTAACAAGTTCATATTCAAGCGGGCTGGAGAAAGAAATGTAACCTGTGTCTATCTTTATAATTTATCTGTATCATTGAGTCTACTTCTACCATTTTATTGGTTGCATATTCAGGTGATTCGTAACTTATCAAAATAACACCATTCAAAATATTACCTTCAAAAATCACAACAAAAAATATTGCAACTAAAAAGACCTGTTGTTTCAAGAATATAGCAGCTAAAAATATTTTTAAAAAAACACTCATTTTTTCGAAAGATTACAAGAACAAGGAAAAAATCCGTTGAGTGGTTCCGGAGATATTCAAGGAAACCATTCATGCAAAAGGTGTAATATCTCTGGAATCACTTGATCGATTGCACCCATTCACAATACCGACCTGTAATATTTTGAGAACTACAAGTGTACAAAATTGCAAGTCGCTATCTCTATTTTTTATTGATTTATCGTGCCCACAACTTTTATGATGATAAAGCCTGAAAACGACGATCTCACGAAATTCTATGAGAACAGATGTAGATATTTCGATTGATATCGATAGGACCTATACACTGAAACGAATATTTTAAAAAAAAAATGAAATCGCAGTATTTTTTGAGATATTCCGGAGAAACGAAATTTACAAAAGTTGATATATATCAGCAACTACTCGATCAACCGAGCTGAAACGTCTCATCAAAGTAAGGGTGGAAAATGTCTATCACTCCCCCTCCCTCGGAACTTTATACTGAGTTACATCCTAATCGGTAGTTTTTCACCTCCTGATCACGAATCTGATATCCGTATGTTAGGGAGACAAATAGTTTTCTCTATACATTGGAATTTATATACTGCTGTTTGCATTACCTAGGGCGAGGATGCACCAGTTTTCGGTCCCATGACAATACATGTTGATACATTTAAAGACCAGGATAACACAAAGAGTTATATTATTGTTTACTCACTCAACAGCAATACCATTCACCGTCGGAGGCAATCGATCACCTGTGGGAATGGTTGACGTTGGCACTCGGTACAAGCATGGACGCACCGCTGTCCTTCTTACAGCAAATTCTATAATTAAGTTTATAATTATGAATTATAATTGAATAGCTCATACCTATATCGGGAGACGATCTTAAACATGAAATCACACAGATATCCATGGTAGCGCTTTTCCATCGTGCCCTACCTCTGAAGCTGGCGTTTCAGGTGTTTTCATGTTCTTTCAATGTTTTGTGTATGGGTGTTAGTAACCGGACCCACAAAATTGATTGGATGGTTTATGATGGATTGTTGGTACCCTTCGTCATTCAGTCAGGCATATGATCTCCACTCATCTTTCACTTTCACTTTTTTCTTTTTTTTTCACTTTTTTGATGGTTGCCATAAGTGATCCTACCGTTCTATCTTTTATTGTGGTAATGAGAATGGATTCAGATTCCCTCTCATACGCACCGAACCCTCATTGCCCTTCAATACTGCGCCCTCGGTTATACTTCTTATGGCCAACTTTGGTTTCATCGATTTCCACTATTTTATTAGGTCCTCCCAACGTGGTGGTGTGGTTTTTGCACTAATCGATAATAAATTCTCTAACAAAGTTGGACCAATCCACCACGATTTGTCGTGAAATTCCAAGTTCGAATTCTATGAATTCTTGTCTGGGAGGATTTATTAGGTGGTAAATCCCGATAAATCGCACGGCTGTGACCAGGGTGATGTGCATTCCATACAACCATGATCCGTATAGGTACTATATTCTGTGTCACATTCGATACCAGCTCCTTTCTTATGACATCCATTTTTTTGCGTTATTTTTCTGCATCGAAACATGCCTCCCACATCGTTGGTCATCATAATTTATTTACATTATAATATTTTGAGGGGTAATATCATAATTAAATAAAATTTAGAGCGCTCACCATGTGTTGATGTTTTTTTTTCAGATTATTCGTATGAGAGCAACTGTTCGCAAGGCACGTATCGGAACCATCTGGAAAATTACAAAACAAACAAAACTCCTAAAAAATAGAACATTTGGGGATGAAAAGACGCTTCGAAAGTGCAAGAAAAAATATGAAAAATTTATAAGAGAAATAAAGGCAATCAAGAAACTGAAGGACGATGATATCGCAAAATATGCCATTTTGAATACGAGGAGTCTTACGGAAGTCCTGAGTGATCCAACAGTCAATAGAAAGATTCGAGTAATGACAAAACTAGCATACCATAAGGCTTTGAAATCGGCAGTTGATAAATTCAGGGAGAAATTTCCACATTACAAATTGGGAAAAAAACAATTAACCACTTCCAGTTGGACGGAATTGTTGGGAAAACGAATTTCCTCTTGTGAACCTGTGAATTCAGAAGGAAAAGATCTAATTGAATCAAGCCGCGACGATAATTATGAGCAAGAAAACACAATGCCTCATAGTAATGGAGAATCTGAGGACGAATCTGTGATCTCGGAATCGACTGAGCATTCTGAAAATTATAATGATAAAAACTCTGACGAACTATCAAAATCCGGCCTACGAAGTAAGAAAGAAAGTTCTGAGTTTATGGCAAATGGAATCGAATCGATAGAATCAGAATTTTTCAATCAAAAGAATAACTTAGCATCAAAAAAATCCAAAAATTCGAAACATCCGGAGCAAAAACAGCCTCCATATCCCGACAAAAATTTGATCAAATCAAATATTGAAGAGGGAAATCGAGAAGTACAACCTTCAATATCCCACCCACCAGCTGAAGAAGCTCCTAAGGAATGCAAGCAAATGAACTCCACAAATTCTTGCAAGAGAAAATCAGTTTCTCAAACTACAGAAAGTTCAAAAAATCCTCGAGAAATAAAATGTGTGAGTGAACTTACTTTGGTAAAACGTATCGAAATCGATGATTCACTTGAAGTAATCGCCACATCAGAAGCTCCGACTATACCTCACGTACAAAAAATTGAATTGGAGAAAGTAGAGGATTCTTTCTTCATCTCTGCCACATGTGGAGAGGTTTACAAATCAGTTGTTGTTCCTCGTGTAGCTGCAGAAACTCCACAAGATGAAGACATGAAATATAATTCACCAAGACATAAGACAAATAACCGTGTCCATTCATCTAGGCACGATGGAAGAACATTGAACTTCAAAAAAGATCATCATGTCCGACAAAATACCTTCGAAAGGAGTAAGGATGGTCGTACGGACGAGATGTCCTGGAAGGATAAACGAAGGATGGGATCTAAGATGAATGATAAATTCGATAATGCAAAGGATAAATCCACCCTGACGAAAGTGAATAATGGAGAAAGTTTGCATCCATCTTGGATTGCCAGGAAGAAACAGCAAGAAATCCTGAAACAAGGATTTCAGGGCAAAAAAATTGTGTTCAATGATGATTGAAGAACTTTTACTTAGAATAAATTCTATTTGATTGGACGAGTTAATAGAATGACTTTAATATTAATTCCTATGCTCATTCATTTTTTTATATCTTTCTTAATGATGTGTTCATTTACATTATCATTTTATAAGGTCCGAGTGGTTCAATCTCTCCAGCAGCTAAATGCACTAAACAAAGACGATAATTATTGCTAGATATAGGAAAACAGTAGTTCATTTTCCATGTGTATTCTATCGGGTTTTTCCATTTGGTTGCCATTCCTTTCCTCTTCATTTAACATTATAGTATATCAGTGCATAACTTATCCAGAAAAGTATATGTAGTGTATAAAAATATATTATTAGCTAGTGGAACCAGCTGGAGTTAATATATTAGATAAAAATATTAGCTCTAGCTGATTCTCTAATAATTAATTAAATTCAGGTCTCAAACGAGAAAAAGAAAGGCAGTGGTTTTGGGTTTGAATAGATAGCACAAAAGCATTTGAGCCTGCCTAGATTACGAGAGTCATTCATAAATTACCTAGCTTTCATATGCCAGTTTACCTATCAAAAAATCTACTTTCATATCTCGTCAACAGATAAATTCAGGTCAGAGGTGAGTCTCTCATGTCCAACAAAATCAATATTGCTGCAGTCGCTTAGGGGTCAGTCCTTTCTCCTGTTCTTTTGAATGTATACATTACTTCGCTTTTCAACCGGATCCCATTCAGCATTTCAATTGCTGGATTGGCTGATAATATTGCGCTTTACACCGCACACTCATCGGCTAATAAGGCAAAAAATTGAAACTGATGCTTCGGTGGTTAGCTATCATTGAATTTACCAAATGGAAGATTACTATATTAGTCCGTTTAAAACCGAAGTTATTATTTTTTTAGTCATCGAAGTAAAATTTATTCGGGATAGTTGTAATAATTCCAAAAAAATTGCACCGATTTAAAGAACACAGTAAAACATTAATCGTGAAAATAGAAAAACACTCAACTATTTTATGTCGCGTTAAATACAGTAAGCCATATTATTAAATCATATTGTTTTGAAAGCTGTAGATAGATTTTTCAAAGAAAGCATGATAAAAATTTTGAAACTTTTTTTTTCGAAAATTTCGATGACTAAAAAAATAATAGCTTTGATGTCAAACAAAACTTAAAAAAAATAGTAATGATGGAATAGTAATAGGACTGATATAGAAACGCCGATAGAGAAATTAACGTTCAAATATATGACTTATTGTAATATAATGCCAAGAGGAAATTTGTATTTACAGCTGATGGATCATGCACGAGATCTTTAATTGCGTAATAATGAGAAACAAATCTGAAAAGTATAGAGATACACAAGTTTACTCATAGATTCTCAACTAATGTGGGAATGTATAGCTAAAACAAATTTTATCAGATCATACAATTCAGTGAATCGGCAGATATTAGTATAGAATTCAGAGGAAATCTGGAAAAAACTCTTATCAAACCTCTTATTATCTACAGCAACTTTAATCACATTCAAATCACAAAGAACAAGTCCTCACAATCATTAATATTTCACAGAGAAAAAAAATTCACGACAAATTGCGTGGCAGTTCCGTAAACGCAGGACGTAATTTCATTTCGTAAAAAAAATATGGAGTTAATCTGACTTTTTAAGTTACTTTCATATAATGTTTCGGTCAAGTGAAGATTATGTCGAGCTGAAGTAAAAATTCAAGTTAGTCCAGTAATTTTTACGAAAGGACACTTGGTCCCACGTTTGCGGAAATGTCAACTCATTTTTCGGGAATGGTTTTTATTTCTTTAACAAGCTAAGGTACGGCAATCACTGAGAACTCGGAAGAATAAATAGAAATTTTTCATTGAATTTGTCCTCTCAGGAGAATTAAAAACTTGGTTAATAGTGTGAGTTCAAATATAAGGATAGATCACATGCGGATAAATAGTAGAAATAGATATCTTCCATAAAAAGTCAACTCTTTTGATAAATAAATGATTTATCAAATAATGAAAGACTTCGTTTGGTGCCGACGGTATCAGGCGAATATAAGGTGAAAAAAGGTAACTCAAAGTATCATTGAATTACCGAATGGCTCGTCGGCAACGAATTCTTGCAACGAGTTTTTGTTTGATCGCGGATTTGATTGCATCAGCTAGTCTCATCATCTTCGTTGCACAGCTGGATAGGCATTGGGTGGTGTCTCAGGTGGGCGTGAAGGCCGTTGTCGTCGTCGGGGTACAAACTGCTAACGTTGCACCCCAGTGATCCACATTACGCCGAATACACGCCGAAAAACAATAGCTTTCCCCACCTAAATTATCAACGATAAGAATTTGATCATTCCTCAAAATAAATGCTTATCGTTAATCATTTAAATTTATTCTGAAAACCCGCACACTCAATATAAATTTTCCAAAACTTTGACCTCTGCCGATAGTTTTTTTTTGCAAGGAATTGCAGTTTTCATATTTTTGTTGTAATAAATTCCGTTAAAAATTGAAGAATACATTTACCTAAACATAGACTTTGCGTGAATAAATTGAGCTGGCAGAAGAAAGGTAATTTATCAGAACAATTTCTTTTACTCCGGTGAGTATATCTTCGAAACTCGCTAGAAACTATTGTACCGGAACATGAACAAATCTATAAAGATTCAGCGCAACAGGAAGGGCAATATTTGAATGCCACGTGAGATAGTTCGAGATATTTCTTCATTTCCACGAGAATTTCTTTGCGCTCTTTTTTTCTTTACTCTAGAAGTAACGAGTTCCGGAAATGGCAAATGTCGCGACTCACTTGTCACGTGAGATGCTCAAAGCGCTCCGGATCTCGGGGAATGCAAACATCAAGAAAAGATCCGAAGAAGTAACGGACATTTTCCTGCTGCATCTCCGGTCATCCACTTTATATATTACCATTAATGTTATTATTCAGATATACAGGAATCGAAGTATTGACTCTCATTAGTAGCACTCTGCTATAAGAATCAATAAGTTCATTATAAATAATCAACAAAAAGGAATTTAAAAATTCATTCATTCATCAATTTTTTTATCTGCACTTGGGAATCGCGTGGAATGATTTTATCATGATTCATTTTGCACCAATTAATAAAATTATTGGTACTATTTGTATTGTTCAATTCCATTGATTTTGGTTGTCGATAGTCACAGAGAAAATTCAATTATTACACGAGTAACGAAACTGGTAATGGTTTTTTCGGCTGGAAAAAAACTGTTCACGTCTCTCCGTGAAAAAATTTATCAGTCTTCCCCAGGTCCTGGCCGTCTTCGCCTTCGGCTCGGAACGCAATGGTGCATGAAGTAGAGGATCATCCGTTTTCCAAAGCTCGGGCATGAAATGTACTATAGGTTTTTCTGAATTTTAGACTTTTTAGAGCATTCTTTATGAACAAGTTGTGGTTTTAAATAATTATGTACGTCCATAAATTTATAATAAAATTTATTCTGGTGTTTAGTATTAGTACTGTCAGTTTTTTTTATCCCGACATTAGAGTTAAAAATGCAATAGGTGAAAAATTCTCATTTTCTGCAAGAATGATTATATTTTTGTCGAACTTGTATGTAAAAAATTGTAATTGTTACTATCCTGTTCCCAAGATTAATAATCGTTCAAGTAAATTTCGAGACTAATTTGTCTGCGCATGCATAATTTATGATCCGCGTAGAAATTGCAGAGAGGCTGGAATTGCTGAGGAAATGTTTGCATTATCTCGATTTCCACTACGGAATTAAATTAATATCTGAATATTTCTGAAATAAAGAAAATTATAGTTGGAGGTTTTGCTTGCTAGCAGAAGTCAAGTCATTCGTATAATAGTTGAAAATAGAGAAAATCGAAGAAAAACTACAATAAAAGAGACAAATGTTGCGGAAACTATTGAATTTGGAATAAGTTAGAAATTTGAAAGGACAGGAAATTGAATCATTTCTATTTAACGATCCGTGGGGCTACTCACTTCCGGATCGAGTGACACCACGACACCATGACTTCGAGTTCGACTTTCGTCGTTTCGGGAAAAAAACAAGTCAATGGCTTCAAGTGATTCTTAATGAGATTTTGCAACTGAAATTGTCTTGAGATAATTTCATAGATTCAAAAGCAATTTTTTCAGATGCAATGAATTGACGATAAATGAAATTCAACAATCGAGAGGAGATCGCGTAGAACAATAATTCCAATAGAATTTTCAATTATGTAACTGTGAACTTAATTTGAATCACAAATGGTATCTAAATTTTTTATACATTTCGAAAATTACAGAGGATTGAATTTTTCAATGAAAGCTTGAATTTTCATGTTCATCGTGAAGATTCACCATCACCATCAGCTATAACTGAATTGTCAATAGGTTGAACATTCCAAGAAGTTATTGCTCTAATTTCCAATATTTTTACAGTTTTTCTACAAATTACTCTAGATACTAGAAATATAAAAAAAATTAAGCCATTCCTCAATGAACGATTCCCCAGCAATTTAATTTCACTTGATATTTGTTTAAAAATTCGAGTATAATTTATCACCAGCGTATCTTTAAGTAATCCTTCAGAAAAATGCTCTAACTGTTTAGGCAATAAAAAAACACATTGCCATTCCCAGTAACTCCATTAACAAAATACAGGTCGCCGGAAGACCTTGAGCTAATTAGTTACATTTTATATGTGTAATGATAATTAATATGCAAAATAGAAAAAAAAACAAAACGAGTTGACATGCTCATTTGTACGTTCCTTCAAGAACTTACAACTGGCCCTCGCCCTCGGCCCTCCAGTATTTATATATTATTTATGTACACAATAGATAGTATGATGAGTAAGTATAAAAAGGAAAATGAATGAAATTTTGATGAGTACAGGTTGAGAGTGTAGTGATAGTTTCGACAATATTGAATATTTCTCAATGAAACTATGAAGGCATAGCGTCTGTGGGATAAACACGAGTGGCCCATCGTTTCTACAGCAGCAGTACCATTGGGTCCTCTCATTTATAGGGAGAGAGAGGCCGGAGAAGCGTAAACCGCGAAAGTAGGGATCACGACTGTTGAAAGAGTAAGACAGGTGAGAAGGAGCTGAGCCTGAGTTACTCATGAAAAATCGAGATGAAAGATTCACCAGAGTGGCTTCAAGGCCCAAAGGGAAAGAGACAGCTAAACTAAAGAAGACGAGTCCCTCTTACTCCATCCCCTCTCCGATCTCATCCCAACGAAGATCGAGATCGAAGGGCAAAAAGAGGGGGACAGGAGGGTGAAAGAAAGAAAGAAAGAATTAACTGGAGAGGGGGTACCCATTCATGCTTTGCCGCTGGTCTAAGAGTCCAGTTCAACCACGGCATACCTTCGTGTACCCCGTGGGCGCCATTCTCTAACCGGCACTCACCTACTATTCACCAACAACTCCTCTCAGTTCAACCCAAAAGTTACACCGAAAATTAACCAAGTGTTTTTATTCTCTAAACAATCAATTTGCTACTTCCATCATATTGCTTTTGAAATCCATCAAAAGTCCTTATCCAATCAAATTCATTGTTTATTCCTAACTCGATTGAAATCAATACTATATACTATAACTGAATATTCACGTGGTGTTGTGCCAATGTTATGACTCAATATGATGCAAAAGAGAAAATAAAAATTCATTAAAAATACTGCTGGCTATCTTCTTGAATGCACTAAGTCATTGGATATGTGTCAAGTTATGTGAATTATTGAAATCTATCGCTTGTGATGTGACTTGACTTACGGCATTTATCGATAATATTTACTATTCACTTATCGATAATCAATCGAGTTTGATTGGAGTGGAGGAGACGATTGGTTTTACTAAAATGGAATTCTCCATGATAATGTATTTATTTGTAACACTGTGCTTTATGCGTACCAAGTGTTTTGGCAATTTGCTTGGTGTTGAAATGGATGATGCTGGTGAAGAGTTTTTGCATGAGTACCTGTCACTGGATGAGAGCAGGTATCTAGCTGAGCTGCAGGAGTTTCAGGATGCAGCCATTGAGATTGACTTGATTGATAGTAAAAAACGTCATAAACGACCGGAACAGGAGCCCCGAGTTGTGTATCAAATTGGAGTAAGTGGCTTTTGAATTTTTCTTTTATTTTCAAATACGTGCGTTTGTTACAGTCGGTGTATTGGTGTTATTGCACGTATTATACGGCTCATGGCTGAATTGCCGAGTTGAATGGAGAGGGTGGAGGGAGATAAATAATAATAATAATCATTATTATTATTGTGGGGGACAAATTTACATGAGCTCGCGTGGAAAAGTGCACGCGCTGCATTAAATGTATTGACCAATTTCCGGCCGAACTCACCGTGCGCGCCTTTTTTAGTCTTTCAATGTCCACTAACCATTTGTCCGCGGGCCATTAAAGACGCTTTTCGCGCCCACCATTAAACCTCCATATTCTCCATCTTTCATTAATCTTTCTCCTTCCTATATTTTAATCACAATCCAAATATGCGCTATCATCATCATTATAGATCACTGAATGTTGTAATTTTTCTACTTTCATTAATGATTGTTCCCCAAAGTCTCTGACGATCTTCGTTGTTTCTATAAAATACATTTCCCCATCAAAAAAGGCAATTCATATAATTATATAATATTTCACATTGTTGGTACGTCACGGGAAACAATTGGATAGGATTTGGATGGGATAGAGTAGGATCGGGAAATATTCTCAATATACATTTTACAAGAAATTTTTAGTGATTAGAATGGGATACATATCTGTATTCAAGATTCGAACTCGGATTCGAACTCGGCATTGTTCACTGTTTCATTGACATTAGACATTACCGTCATACAAGAACTATATAATAATAATACTAGCATAATTGTTGTTAGTAGATAATGATTTTGGAAAAAGCTGATTTTTTTTTAGGATGAAATCTAAAGTTGAATTTCAGCTGCTTCTTTATTGTTTACCTGTGGTTTTTCGTGAATATATAGAGGAGGGGGATATAGTTTTTGAATGTTGGGTAATGTTGACGTTTTGAAGAAGAAAAAGCTTCCATGTCATCCGGGTCTTTTCACCGTACAACCCAAGTGGCGCCCACTTGGAAGTTCTCGAACCTGTCATGAAGTTGTGCTACAGATGAGAAGGAATGGTGGGTGAAAAAGGTGATGCAGGGTAACAGGGGAGAGGAGGGAACGGCAGTGTACACTTGGGGCAACATTCATAACGAGTTCGCCGATCGAGTTTGAGATTCCTGTGTACGTCGTTTCCTCTTACTTGAACGGGACTACAAAGAATGCTTGTTCGTCGGCCCTACGTCCGGTGTTTTTTTTTTCACATTTTAGGGTTTTCATTATGTATTAAATTATCCTACTGATGCGTCATGAATGAGAGGAGAGAAAACGCATTCTCCATCATCGAAAGAACTACTGGTCACATTTAGTAGTGGCTCATCGATGCATTTCCAGTTGTAAATTTCGTTTGTGAAAAATCCATGGTGAAATTGACGTGAAAAAATATACCGTTTTTAAGTTTTATTATTATTTTATGTCTCACATTTCATTTCATTTCATCGCGGTCGATGATTTTTCCATGTTCTCAGTATGCTTTTGCAAAAATAGTTATAAAATCTAAAACCGATATATTCTACTATATCTATCTGATCGAGGGTTTCCCTAAGATTAATAGAAAACATGAAAAATGAGAAGATGTCGACAATAACACGGTAGTATCAGCATTTTCTTGCGCTTTTCTAAACTTTTAAATATACTTAAAAAATTAATTAAATCACAACAAATTGTAAAAACATATTTTTTTACGTCAATACCATTGGTGGTTGGCCGGAAAAAAAATGTAAAAACGTGAATTTTGACGATAAAGGTGTCTAACATCCTTATGGTTAAACTATTGAAAAAGTACAGAGGAATTTCTGAAGATTGCAAAATTTATAGTCATTGGCAGATGCAGCAGTATTTTGAATATTTTTGTATAATTCTCAAGGATTTGTAAGGACGAACACATGTTTACCTGTTGCATTTTCTGATGTAAAAGAAGGCCTGGAAATGGGTCCTTTTGGGTCCTTGGGTGGCACGGTATTGAGCCATTGGGCTGCTGGGCGATTGCCAGGTGTCATGTTCGTTTCGGTTGTGGTCGTGAGAGATGCGGGAGATTCGTGAGAACTTCCGGATTTCTCATGGGCCTCTTCCGGCTCATCTATTATTTCATTTTAGTTTATACAGTGCCACCGTTTCAATTCGCCATTTTCTTCATCCTCTTACCTTCACTGACGTAATGTTTTGTTATCGAATTTCTCTCTTTTTCCTTTCCTATTTATTTTTCGTATTTACTGGGGAGAATGAATGAAAGACACCGCGTGTATTTACCAAGGTTTATTTATCCCGGAGTTTCATTCATAGTCTTGGAATTTTTTTTATTCATATTTTCTTTCAGCATTTCGCTCGCGCTTGCGCGCCGCTAATAATCATATTCGGGCGTATGGAAAATAATTTATATAAAATATTTTGTATATGAAGATATGTAAATTTTTTAAATGATATTTATTTATTTTATATTCATGCTTTTTCACTTTTATGTAGAGATATAGCTCTTTTTTAATTGAGAAAATTTTTATATACATTATAATTATTCTTAAAAAATAATAATTTTCATTGCAATTCTGGCAGTTTCGTAAACTCTATTTACGTTACATCTGATTTTTTTTTTGGGGGGGATTATTTTTTTTGTCATTATAGTAGAAAATTCAGAAATGACTAATTTCCTAATAACTACTGCAAATTATAGTAAATATAATCGACAAAAAATTCTGGGATAACTGATCGTACGTGGAAAGGTATATTTATACATAATATTCCATCAGAACATTACACTTGTCGAAAATTTAAGATGGAAAAAATAACCTACGTAATCAGATTTCATTCAATATACTTGATTTTTTAAATTAAATCTGTTTATAGTGGAAAAAAGCTCCAACAACAGGATTCTCTGATGAATTTTGAAAATCGTCAAAAAATCTTGGAGTTTATTGCGAGCGAATGAGTGTATTGAAATGCCTCAAAGTAAAGACGACATCATGAATTCCTCCGACTTTTTTCTTAGATTTCCTTCATCTTAAATATTTTTTTATGTGCTTTGTACATTAGTGAAAGTTTGCTAGTAAAACCCACGGTACGCCTACAAATAAGAATTAACACGTGCCATGAGAAACACTAGTTACACACTGATTATTCTAGGGCCCACGCAAGAGCTCATTATTTGAGAATAAATTTTGAGGATCTGATGAAGCATTGGAGGAAAGAATATCCAATATTTTATTGAACATGAGAAGGGGTCTATGTCTATGACTAGTGCGTAAAATAGAACTTCTTTGCACGATACATGATTGCAATAAACCCAAATTTTATGCGCCGCTTTTCAGCTTTACGCATATCGTGCGGAATGGGCGTAATTTACGCACGCTAATCTGTTTTGTAATAGTATATTTAGTTACAGGTGCATGGAAAACTGGCTTTTCGCACGCACGAGTAACACATCCAAATTTTTACAATAGATGCCGCGTTTGGAACTGTAGTGGAGGCAAAGTATTTGTTTTATCCACAGAGTGCGTAAAGGTCAAGCTCGATCTCTGAACTTTAGGCAAATCGTACGGAAATTAACCACTTTATGCACACTAAATGCTTCCAAAATAGTATATTTCGATATGATTGCGGGAAAGTGTTTTGAGCTTGTCAGAGATTTATAGCACGAGGTGAATCCTATTTTTCATCACAATGTGTGGGAAGTGGGGTTTTACGTACGTGGAGTGGTACAAAATGTTCCATAACCAGAACTACAGGAAAAGTTAATTTATTCAATGTTTAAGGGTATTAACATTAGTTGTTGATGTTGAGTTTCTTTTTTGTGTAGAAGAGTGAAGCAGAACTTCCAGAATGCTTGGATAAGAGTGAGGTGTGTAGCAAAGTCGATTTATATGGAGATCCGTGGGTGGAGAGGCAGTGCAGATGTCCTGGAGGACGTACGTGTCCGAGCAGTATACATGCTGATGATGGGTACACGATTGTTGATAAAACCAGACAGTATAAGCTCTGTGAGCCAGTTAAGAGACTACCAATTTGCCGTTATTTCAAGTAAGTAATCACACAACTGGTTAGAGAGGGTAGAGCAAAATGGAACACCCAAGCAAAATTAAATAACATATTGTTCCTTTCTAAAATTAAAAAACCCTCTATAAATTTACTCTCTTCTAGTAAAATCTAGTGAAAATACATTTTAAAAACGGAAGGATGAAATTTAAGTAACTTGTGAGAAAATCGTCAAAGTCAAATCGTAGAATATCATAAACAGAAATTTTATCTACTAAAAAAGTCTCGTGAAATTCTCTACATAAACTCGCATCATCCTCTTGATCTTACACGCATTACCCTAAATACCCTAAATTTAATATGTATCCTAATTATTGCAATTATAAATTTTCTAGAGATATCACATGGACATTAGCTCCAGGTGTTGGTTCAAATAACTCAACGGTTCAGCAAGTGCACTGTAGGTGTCGTCCAGGAAGCGTTCCTTATATCATAAGAAGATCAACCCACAGGCTACCCCAAGGCAATGCAACCTACGTGTATGCATTCGCATGTTCACCACAAAGTGTAAGTAACGCAAAATTATCAATGGCTAAAAAATTGATGAGTCAGCCGCCAGCAATAGCTGAGTGGTTCCAGTCAATCACTGGATGACGGGTTTCCCCCAATAGTACAGTCGTATGACACTGAAAAACAGTCAAATGGATCAATAAAATGATACACCATGAAAAATAAACAGGCGGATAGTTAAACAATTGATATTTAATTGTCAATCGATCGATGGTTGATGCTGGTTGGTAGTACACTTTGAAGACATGATAACTGATGGCGAATCTGAATGACTCCCGTAATTTGATGACCTGCTCTGTATTCTTCCCGTCAATTAAATGACCATACAGTACTGCTATATGAAAATAAGTTGTTATTAAATATATTGATTATACAGCCATTTTAATTGAGTGTCACCTAATAGTCACCTGATGAGAGTGGGTTTATTGCAGGTCTGCCCATTAACACCACATCTAGCACTCATATAGATTTCCGTACAGATCACTTATCGTTGATCTGCTCTTCCATTTAACGATTCAAGAATTGAAATTTACCACTAGTTACTATTTTTACCGTTAAAATTATATTTACAGAAAGATTTTTTGATCAATTTATTTGAAGCAAAAGCTAATCTCATGTCCATTGCTTGGAGAGTTTATCGATCTTCTCAAGTTAATTGATTCATATAAATAAATAACCGATCGTAAATATGGTAAATGTCTAGCATAGAATCTATACTATATACTATAGATCTAGCCATCCAAGTCAACTCAATCTGGATGTTCTATAGTGGAGTGTGTAGGTTTCCATCTGATGAGATGATGAAGACCGTGTTTGTGTGATTTTAAATACATTACTCTCTGCGATATTCAGGGCCACGACGAGGATGTGGCGATCGTGTCGATGATATGATAGACAATGGATACACAAGAAGATGAATGAATGTAGGTAATCCTGAATAGATCCCTAAGTCACCAGTATTACATCACGCCACCTCACCTCACAACTATCACTGACTGAAACACGATGAGTGGTATACCTCCGCTGCCCTACTGCACTTATTCAATTTAAATTATATTAAATATTATTCACTCACTCATCGTGCCAACAGTGAAAGCAAGGAATGGCCGAGAGGGAGAGGGAGGGGGGCTGCTCTATTGCTGAAGCGACTGAAGGAATTGCTCAGGATTTCCTTACGATTTATATTCGTATCCCGCTAGTCTCCCATCTACACTCTCACCAATTAATCCGCTCTTGTAACTAACAAGTGACCTTGAGTGAATTATTACCTCAATGATAATTATTTGTGGTGGACCTGTACTAGACATTTACCGAAAATATTTATTCACAGAGGCTGAGGTGTCAACACAAAGAGCCCTGCCGTTTATTCACAGTTCGGAAACGACGTAGTTCCCAGCTAGAGGAAGTGAATGCATCACCTCTCTGCCAATGTCCAAATGGTAACAGGTGTCCGAGGAGGCACACAGATCCAGGCTCCCTACCAGCGAGATCCTACAGTGGTGCCCTCGAAATAAAAACCTACAGTGGCTACTGTGTCCCAGCTCATCATACCGAACCAGTCTATACCCTCTGATGATCGCTGATATCGGACCATTCAAATTTTTAATCATTCTTACTTGTCTGAATTTAGTTACTGGTTTTTCATAGATCGTTTTTTTTTATTATACCGACTGTGGGTAAATCATTGCGAATAAAAAACCCAAAAAACACGTACACTGATTTGGAAAGTATTGCGTGGCGGTATAGTACCGTCTATCTGTGCATTTATCATACCAGTATTTTACTGGTGTGCCGTACTAACGACCGGATTTAATTATGATATTCGTACGCGGGTCGTACATCGTACTAAAGTTTCACCATCGGACTTGTTTCTACGATGTGCCAGTACACTGGACAATCTTTCAATGAAAAATATACAGTTGCCAATATCCTTTCATTAAGAGCTAATAATCATGAATTAAATTGCGGAATGTAAGATTTCGGCCAACTTCACACGTAAGGCCTCATGCGTAAGTGCCATTTTTCATTGGCCATTCCGAATAAAATTCATTTCTCATTGGTGAATTGGTCTTACGTTACATAAAATAATTTCAATAAAGGGTTACACACATAAATCAATTTGCCAAACACAAGATTTCAGTTAACGTTATGAGTAAAACTCTCATTGGCGATTCTAGATAAAAGTCATTTCTTATTGGTCAATTGCCAGATCAAATGGCGCAGAGCGCGCTTTCGCTCTCGGGATACATAATATCGATATCGTAACATTACATTCTCATTTTAGTCGCCAGTATGGCCTATCGATATTATACTGGTATGATAATAATATGGTGTACATATTCGAAAGAGCAGTCTAGTATAGACAAAATATCAGTATTGTACTTGCATCTCAGAGAAGCGGCGTAGCCAGAACGATTATTCTAAGATAATCCTAATACAGTACTGGGATGATAGGTGCGCAGACGATGTGAAGTACATACATACTGTACTGATATATAGGAGAAAGATGGGAAATTGATGGAAAACGAAACTGGACAGGGCAAAACACTACAGAGGTCATTTTCTTCGGCCCATTCTTCTTCAGCTCATCATTTTTCCAACGAAATGGTATCGTGGGCTGAATGAAGTGATTAATAGTATTGGAGTGGTGATTTTATTAGCAAATTAGAAGAATTCTCACATTGTTCATAGAAACACCTATAAAAGCTTTAAGTGACCATTGTCGTGCATCGAGAAAATAATACATGTTATTTTAATATTTATTTGTCACACGTCCATGTTATCAAACATGAATCCCACTCGTAGATTATACGGATGGATATGTGACAAAAAATTTTAAACGATACTCGTAATGATTGGGATAATCCATTGGTAATAGACGGATTTCACTGAGGAAAAAAAGCGTCGATCAAGTATTTCTTTGATTCAAGTCCGAAATAATTCGAGCCAATTGTACCAGGGTCTTGGTAAAGCATGCACAGAATTGATTCAAATGCATAATCGATTGAGAATAAAATTTTCGAAAAACAAATGGACGTTTAGTGCCTTTGATTGGCAATTTCGTGGAATGATTGCCTGAAAGATTAGGTTGGTTTCGAATTTTAAACAAAAACGTGCACATTTAATCGACGCTTTTTCTGTCAGGGTATGTTAAACTTTATTCACAAGGATGTAATACTATGTATTTTATAATGTACTAACGATGTTCCTAAACTGACAATTCTTTCCAACCGGAATTAGAGGATAGAATTAGGAAAAATTTTTACCTGGAAATTATGGTCACAATTTTCCACGCAAAAGAAAATTCAATGTTTTTCATGTGCAGCAATTAAGTTCGTTTGATTTATAGATATTTATCTTTCCTAATTTTGATGCAGTTGTATAAACCATGTATAGAGGTATTCCCTTCATCTTCAAGCTATCGATCGCAGCAACATTACTATATCTTATCTTTTCCTCCCTAATTATTATTTTTCATGACTAGTTGTATGTTAACGATTAACTATTATGATGGAGTGAAGTAAAAATGTAGATGAAGATTATTTTAAAATCTTATTTTATGATTATTGTATTGGGTAATTTTCTCATTTTAATGGTACGTTTTTTTCGACGAAGTGACATCTTAAATGTTAATATTTCCGTAAGGATACAATGGATAGAAATTTATGTGAATAATCATTTGAACTGTATATATGACTCGTTTTCGGAGCAGTTATTGAGAGGTAACGGCAGATCATCTGGACGTTTTTCTTTTAATAATAATAGAATGTTGATTTGAGATTGACGTTAATCATGTTTGTGTAATTTTTTACTATTTGAATTAAATATATGGAAATTACGTTGAATCAGTTTCATATTCATTTCATGGGTGATTAGAGAAGCAGCAAGGTCAATTTTTATCTGTGCAATTAATTCCTCCATTTTATTCCCATCATTATATTGACAAGCTCCTCAATTCTGATTTCGATACATCAGACTGCAATATTCGAAGTTGATGAAGAATTATCACTCTAGCGCTAAAAATCAATCATATAATTGACTTGAAAAGTTACCCGATGTTTTCCGCCATTTTGAATCATAGAAGGGCGGCCGACAAAATGGCCGAAAACATGGGGTAACTTCTTATTGAAAAGAGAAGAAATAAATATGATTTATGTATTGAACTATGAAAATGAGATATACGGTGGGATCATTCTTCTTTTGGAAATCACCCTTCCTCTCATCAAATGCTTAGTAAATAGTCTAAACAAAGGACATCGCCTGGAAAGGAAGAAAGAAGCAGCATTCTTTATTGAGTTCGGACGCAATCCACGGAAGGAGGACACATCTTAATAATCTAATTGCTGTCATATAAAAATATTTTTTATTTACTAATCTGGCTCCCACAAAACTGATACTTCAAAAATAATCGGAAAAAGAGGTGTCTCCTCAATTCTTCTGTGATCCTGTTATAAAATTCCCATTCGATTCAAATTTTAACGAACTAAGTGCCCATTTCCTCTAATTTTTTCAAATTTTTAACGGGGTCACAGAAGATTGAAAAACTTACTTTGATCTTCCGTCATTTAAATTCTTAGAAAGGCAGTCTATAAAATGGCGGAAAACATAGGGTAATTCCTCAATACTTCTGCGATTCGATTATACAATTATCATTTTATTCAAGTGTTGACGAGATGAACTTCAATTTTCGAAGAATCGAATTGAATAGAAAAGGAATTATAGCCAATTATTTCCCAACGTCCTAACTTTCCGGGGGGTCTCGCTCCCGGCGGTCCACAAAAAATCAGAACAAACCTAGATTACTCCTCAGATCTTTTGAAATCCTGTTCTACAACTCCGATTGGCTCGACATTCCAGATACGTTACAAGGATCTACCAATCAAAATAGGAGTAAAAATCGAATGCCACGCCTCAATTCTTCTGTTATTTTGTGGGACCTTTCTGTTATAACGTAGGGCCAAATATCAAGAAAAAAAAACGGTCTTTTAAAAATTCTACCGACAATAATAATTTTTGATTACTGGTAGGATTCAAGAATGAGAATCAAGGAGATATGGGGTTACAGAATTCAAGTGATATTTAGGTATAAAATAATATCTGCAGGAAGAAGAAATGGAATTTCCTCTTTTAATGTAATTTTAAATAATTTTGTTGGTATTAGTTTTGGTTGAATACTAATATCCAGTAATGACGAGCAGTCTTCTTTTTCTTAGATGGTGAAAAAGTGTTTTTGTCACGTAAGTATGAAGTTTTATGGATAAAAAATTTGAAGGGAAGTATTCGGTCGACTAGGGTGGCGTCGATGGGAATGTTTCGGTCCATCACTCTGCGCGCATTTCTCAGTTCGAACGTAATGTTCTGTCATCCGTATCCGGTGATTCGCCACCATTCCACTGCCCGTCACATCCTGAATAACGTAAATCTATAGCACTACAAGATTTGCAAAATTGTAGAGTAGTGAGAATACGAAATATATAGAATTGATGAGGAAAAAAAAATCATCGATGAAGTATTTACAGGGAGAAATATATTCAAGAAAAATTACCGAACAGTTAAGCTTATCTACAAGCGTCACCGAAAAATCGGAAACGTTCAGTAAACTTTCGGACCTGTCACTCAAAAAATATGAAAAAGTTGTTATTTTTCTGGAAACTGTTCGATCGATGAGCGATTTCACGAATCATTATGTTCAAGAATTTTTCCGTTACATTTCGTAAATTTTATGTGTTCCTGTGGCTAATTTTTATTGGACTTCTCTCAATATATGTCGTTCGATCTTTTTTCCGTCTGCTTCAAATCTGAAATGACTCGAGTGAAGAGCGTCCCGTTTTGGTGAAAGTGTGCGCACACTTGAATATTTCCCTACACTTTTTGCATTTTTTTTTATTATAACCCGTTAAATACTTGCATCTACCTGATTCTAGTACGCGTAGGGCTGATTTAAGTTCATACATTTTCATCTCTGTCACACTTTATTGCATTTCCATCAATAAAATTCACAAACCATGACGTGACAGTTCCGTAAACGTGAGTCACAGAATTAACCTGAATTTTCGTTATATTGTTACGTAATTTTTCCTTGATGTTATACAAAGATTTCTTGATACTAACATAAAAATTCTGGTTAATTTTAAATTTTTTATGAAATAATATTTCGCCGCAAATTTATGCAGTTGTCACATAATTTTTCGTAAATCTTTTTCTTCGTGCAAATGCTTAAAAGACAAGTTTGATCTTCATTATTCGTTCGTGCGACATGATCTATCTATCTATCTATTACCGAGCAGCAATAATTCCATGCATCGGTAATTTTTCGTCGTCTTTTATAAACAATTAGTTTAGCCCTTCTTCACGACTTTTATACATTTTCTGCAATGAAAATTGCATTTCAAGCAAAATTGGAAGCCAATTTTCATTCAGGAAGAAAACCTTATCAACTAAGAAGCGGCTATTTCACGTTTAGGGTGAAAAGGATGTGAATTTTATAGAATTGTATGATTAACCTCTCAAATTACTTCCATTCGATCCAATAAAAAAGCTCGATAACTAAAATATTGTTAATGATATTCCAGGAGGAAATTTCTAGAGTGACGATTAGAAAATAATTCAGTATCTTGCTATAAAACGGTAAATTGAAAAGAAGAAAGTTAAAAAAGGGTAAAATTTACGTAAATATTGATAGTAAGCACGTTTGTATCCATTAATCGGATAATTTATAATTTAAAATCAGCAAATGCTTTTTCTATCACATAAAGGTGGTTGATCGTGCTGGATCCCGGGCCAGTGGCAATTTGCTTTCCCTCAGCGATTAGTATTTCTTCTTTATACGTGGACTTTTTCATTTTTTTCTCTCTCTTTTCGATCTTAATGTGGTGCTGCAGTTTTTAAAAATATTTTACGGGAGGGCCCCACTCTCGGTGAATAGCTACGACGAGTTATTAGCTGAGATGCTAACTAGAAATACACGGGAGGTTTCTGGTTGGTTGGTAAGTGGGACTAGCGGGGACTCATAGTCAGGATCCATTCTACGTGGGACCCCAGTCGTATTCCAACGCTCTCACATTGACGAGCGTATGTTGGCTATTAATGTTTGCACGATTGACCATTTTTTAAATAACACAGTGCGATATTTTAGCCCTTTTTCCAGTACTTCAATTTTCTATTTATTCAAGTTGCATTATTTGTTTTGTCTGAGTTTTATCTTTCGATACAAGTGCTTTAATTATCAAGGACTTTAAGCTTCGTATTTTTAATAAAAAAGGTATGCAAATTGAGTATTAAGGATCGAGAAGAGAAAGTTTGCAGTGAAGTGATGAGAGATATTTAAGCCGAAGGACTTGGCGCAGGTTTAATATTTTTTAGATGTCAGAATAGGATTATGCACTTACGGGTTTTGCAGAAAAATATGAGAATGGCCTACGAAACTACTTCCAGATTATCATACTATTTTTTAATTGTCTTTCTTTTCAAGAGGCATCTATTATTCGAATACTTCATGTATCATATTTATGCGGCTCCTCAATGAGTCGGAGAACATTTACTGGTACAAGACAATAAAATAATGGTAACAAAATAACAAATAACAATGGTGGTAATAAAATTATGGTGTGAAGTTGGCTAATTTGATATTCATCTGTATTTCAATAAGCCAGTATATAATGTCCTATCTACAGGAGGAAATAGATCGAAAAATGGTTTATCATGTAAATAGATCATGACGCCGGATCTTTACGACATATATGTATGTGTATTACACATTAACGAAACAAATTTATAATTAATCAGTTAAATCTAATGGATAAACTTATTACCTAACAGTCGTCGATCCAAAGAATTCGAGACGAATGAGCAAAGAAGGTAAAGAAGTGCTTTTACAAAAACAATCTGTTCAAAATTTTTCAACATCTGATTAGATATTTAAAGAATAAGCCGTGATTTCGTTTAATTTAATTATTTGAAAAATTGCTATAAATCATGGTTCTTAATCAGTAGATCCTTCTTATGGCGTTTGAAGAAAATTGCAATTACTGCACAAAGCTATCAATCAATGGAAAATTCTGTTGTTCTGAAAATAAGCCATTTGTAATTCAAACAAAATCCCATAAAAATACCTATGAAATATAATAACCTCAGCAATTTTATCGGTTCCGCGCAAGTGAGTTCATCGGCACATAACGATAATGTACATTCGCCGCGAACCTTGACCGTGACCAAGACGACGCTATTCACCTTCGAGTCTCGCGCGCTCATTTCCCCTCAAGCGTAACGAAAGTGCACTAGTGGTTGGAACCTTCGCCATGTCTGTCCACTGCCTGTCTTCAAGAGATGCCAGAGAGAGAATGAATGTGATGTGCGAAAAAAAAGAAACAAACAAAATTAATCTCATTCAGAGAAACAAAGAGAGAAAGAGGAAGCACGAGCGATAGATAGTGCGGATAACAAAAAACCTCTTTAATCATAGCAACATAGCTATTGATGGAAAAGGCGTGATTATCGGATCTTAATGAAATTAAAGGGTCAGATTAATCCATTGAATTGGACATTGACTTATATTTGTGGAAATCCACATTGCAGTTGCGTACAAGAAATTGAATATTTTTTTTTCAGTAATAATACTACTAGTTGGTAGAGATAAATTTGACACACTCGCTGCTAGGTAGGAAAGCTTGAGGAAAGTATTTGATTAATTTTGTACCAAGAGTGCTATTTGATGGATTTTCGCTGAACATCAGCGCAATTATGGAAAGGAATGGAAAGCCTTGAAAGACTGATTCGGCTATTGAAATAACTTTATTTGAGAGAAATGTAATAAATGCAATGAACGACATTTAATTAACAGAGGAATTTCTCCAAAGCGAGTGCTTTTGTAATTACGTTTACAATAACGTATGAGAATTTCTTCTATCCAAATTTCAGGCAGTACAGTGTCACCATTCCGTCACTTACATCATTAATCGAGGTACTTGTATAACTTACCTAATTTCGTTTGGCCTGCATCTCAAAATCATTTCGCCTAACTCTCAATTCGCATAAAAATAATTTCACCTCCATTAGTTGAAAAATGTTTTCTGGTGGGGGATTGTCTTGGTTGCATTGACAACTTGATCTTTTCCATGAAAAATATATTGATTTTCTTCTTCTAATTGTTAATGTTGCTTTAGTGATTATTGTTTGTCACCCATTTTCAGTATTTAAGGCACAGATTTTATTAGATACCAATGCGATCAGAATATTAGGTGAATCATGAGTTTGGCAAAATCATTTTAGTCGAATCATGCCGTTGGGTGAATTTCCATTTGGCGAATTGTATCCAATCCCTTAAGTGGATATTTCCATTCAGTTACTCTCTTTAGCAAGAAGCAAGTTCAGAACATTGACTTTAGACGTAGAAAATTACTTTAGAATAAACAGTCATATATTTTTCGCATTTGGATTCTTTGATTGTACACCAGGAGCAATATTTCTTCCCTAAGATAATTAGTATACCTAGAACCAATTAATGAATTGAATAAAGTTGTATAAACGCGGTACATGTGCTAATCCACTATTTAAAGGAGCAGAAGGCTATAAATTGGTGTTCCCGAGGATTTATGGATACATAATGAGTTACACAAACATGGAAAACATTATAATTTTGAGGCAACAAATCGCTATACGGCGTTGTAAAATATCTCATGAAATATATATGTCATTTACATGAGAGACATTTTTGCAACCCAACCAGGTGAGCAATGTGATTAACTTTGCAAAAATTACGTCTCGGGCTAAAGATTTTCCTTTTACTAACATCTTGTTTACTTCTGCTTAACTTGAAACATTAACGGCTATCTATGCAAGTAGATATATCTCCATTGTACATGACACATACACTGAGAAAGAAAAAGGCGTCGGTTGAACGCCTATGTTCTTGATTGAAATTTGCAACGAACTTGTTTTCGTTATAGCGATCAACCTGATTCTTGAATCAATCTTTTCACAAAATTGCTAAGTCATGGCACTATACGCTCATTTATTTTTCGCAAATTCTATTCGCAATTGATTATATAGTGGAATCAAGTAGATGCAGGTTTGAATGATGACAGCAGGGTGATAACAGCATAAGAATACTATTTTCAAGTGTGTGGATATTTTTATTAAGACCGGACGCCATAGCCTCGAATTCTTTCGGATTTGAATCAAGGAAAACAACACGTATGGACAGAATTGGGACAGCCCAATAATTATTCGAAAAGATTTCAGTTTCTAAAAAAATTGGTTAACTTTTTTGAAAATTGCCTGAGCGTTTCAAATTTTTCTCACATATTTCTATGGCAATTAACATAAGCCATTCTCACTTGCGAAATACGTGAAATGATCCGTAATTTTTCTTGAATATTTCTCTTCCTAAAATCTTAAGTGACGACCAATCGCGTAAATGTATGATCGACGCTTAACGAATAAAAAACCGAAGTGAGTATCTTCAGTTAGTAGTGATTTATGTACCATTTTTATTTTTAACCTAGATTACCCTTTTTGAAAATTGTGTTGTGATCCCGAAGAGTTTCCCAGATTTTGGATGTGCGTTGAAGAAATGGATAGTCTAATTCGTGATATGCCGAGTTTTTTTTTGTTCAAATTATCATTTTTTTCTAGCGATGCTACATTTATACAAAGGAACGTGGATACAATAAGAACATGATCGTTTAAATACCTACTTTTTTGTCTTCACAAGTTGACGCGTGTCGAAAGTCCGGAGTGTACTATAGGGTCAGTACGCGTCTTAGTCTCGGATTCAAAAATTGCGTTACCGTTAAGAGAGCGCGAGTGCCGAGTTTCCTCTTTCTATGCACTCGATTACCAACTCCTCGTATATTCCCCTCTCCATCTCTACCATAAACCTACACCACTTTTCCTTCACTACCCATGCAAGTTCATTCTTCCACTGAAACCTAAAAATAATCGGTAACTTTGTTACGGACGTGCACAAAGCCCAAACAAAAGTGGCAATAACTTCCGCATTGTATCGAGACTTCAATTCATGCTTTTAATTGAGTTCGTGAAAATGTTTGGTTTTTTCCGCGCACGATGCATACCGTGAATTCACAGCAAATCATTTATTGCGGACATTCAATTCAGGATGTGGGAAGATTATGATGAAAATTTAAAATAATTTGTACATATTTTAGATGTCCGAATATTGAGTTTTCAAGATCACAAATCATTATGAGTCTATATTAAAAATGAACAATTAAAAGAAAAACATTACCCTCGAGCTTTTCCTCGATACAACTGTCCCCCAATATACCAATAATTTTTAAATATTTTAAATGACTAAATAATATTATGAGCGACGCCTCGAAGAGATTCCACGAAATTGCAGATCGAATGACGAATTCAATTCATAGAAATCCGCAAGCAGTACTTAGTATGGTACACAAAATATATCGATTTCTTAACATACCCAAAAGTCATTTCCAGCTCCCTCAACCACATCACAAAAATCGACTACATTTAGGGATATTCATTCCAAAAAAGTTGAGGGCAACGATATTTTGCCAGTATTATACTTCTTCTTCTTCTTCTCTCCTTTCATTTATAATATTTTTGAAAATAATATAATAATCATCTCGACTTGTAACATTTTTCGTGCTAATATTCTCGCGAAGTAACATTACAGTATTTTTACTTGTAATATTATTATTACATAAAATCTAGGGCGGTCACTTATTTTTTGAAACGATTTTTATATATTCATTGTAATTGCAAAAAAAAACTAATTTTTCAGAAGCCGAGCTATGCGGGCGAAATCAGTGATACTTTTCGTTACGACAGGAGTTTTTTTTAAAGGGATTTTCCGGTTACAGTATTTATCTCATTGTTCTCCGTTCATGTCCATTAGTAAGAGAAATTTAATAAGTACGGGGGCAGACAAGAGAAAAAAGTTTAGAACAATAGTAGGAGTAGTGCAAGAAGAGGGCGTAAGTTAAGCTTAATCTGTGCTTCGGATTAAAATCAAAAACGTTTCATTGAAATTGTGAGCTTTCGCTGAATGTCAAAGAAACGAATCCTCAAATATTTTAGAGAGGAGTCTGACAATTCAAAAATACTAAAGTGAGAAGTAATAAAGTTGATAGTGTAATAATAATAAAGCCAGAGATAAAATCAAATGCGGCCGCCATGAATTTCATTTGACTCCATGCCAATTTTTCTCATCATTGCATGTGATATTTTCAGTAATCGCCAGAAATATTAAAACAACATTATTAAATTTCAACTTTCCCAACGTTTTTAGAAACGTTTTAACTCCTAACTTGTTATAAAATATGGATGACATTCATTTCGCTGAGATTGCAGCAAAATCTTTTTTTTTTCTGTATACTAAATGCATTACGTAATACCAATAAAAAATATGACAATTTCTTAAATAAATGACTTATTTGGAACGATCAAACAAAATTATTGTTCTCATAAATAACCCATTAACTCGGTTATTAAACCCTCCTCATCTATGTATAATATACTCATATGCATACAAAATATAATATGATGTTATGGGAACTCGTACGAAATCGAACATAATTCTGTGAACTAGAGTAGTAACGCGCTTTCTTCAAACGGAAGATCCATCGTGCTGCGCTTTATGTGTTATGCGTAGAATGAATTCAAAGGTAAGAGGATGTGAAACTCGGCCAATGATATGCTCACCAGGTGCTGGCTAGTAATGTGTACCAAGTGCGTTTATTTTTTTCAAGTACCTGGATTGCTAAATTCCAATCAGTTCATTACATGAGATTATCCGAAATAATATAATAAGTACAGTAATTGGCGGTAATGTGAAAGCGGTTAGTTATCTATTGAATTTCTATTGAAATATGGAAAAATTAATAATTGAATTAAGTATATTTTATACATGATCCTAGTATATTCTTTATTGTTATTAAAATCGTAGGAAAATCATTCTTTTAGTAGTAATACCCCGAGAGCTTGCAGGGAAGCTTAATGTAGATATCCGATTAATGCTGAAGCTCGAGGGGTTGCGAATTTCGATCAATCGAAACGGCGCATTTCATCTAATTGGGGAACAACTCAATTTATCTAGGATTTTGAGGAACAGTTTTGCCGATTTGTTGATCAATAGCTTGTAAGGCCTAAATGCTTGTTCGCCCAAAATCAATTCATTTTTCAGATCTGGTGCATTCACATTATCAAATTTTGACAGTTGGGAAGTTTAATCTGGCCAGTTTCATTGCTTATACAATAAATTTGTTACTTACCAATTACCAAAGAGATATCCGAAAAATACTTGAAACGATAGCCATCCAATTAGCCCAAATAAGATTAAATGCGGTGTTTTTATTGGTCGGAATTCCGACAAGTCAAGTAATCATCTATATACATCGAAAATCGAATATACTACGATCAAGTAGTATAAAACATACAAAACCGACCCGCAAATGTTTTTCTCAGAGAATTCTCCAAAAAGGAATTTAACAGTTTCAGAAGTATATACTAATATTAAACGGTCAAAAAATAAATTAATGAAGAAATATTCGAACTGATGTTTTCCCACACATGCACGAAAAGTTGGTATTTTCCTCTCTGATGAGCAGGAGGAACGTGAGATCCCGGTTTCAAGTAGAATGGATTCACTTTCGTTTGATGTATATAAATGGAAAAATAAACTTTTTTTCGCAAGCGTGTTAGAGAACAGAATGTTTACCACCAACGGAGGACATGCTCTCCCGCGTCTATACCACCTCGGGATAAAAAAACGGAAGACACCCTGAAGATGTTTGCCCAATGCAAACAAAACGTCAGTGTTTGTACTCAGCAAGAAACTTGTCGTTCCATACTTTTTTGAAAAAAAAACCGAACATCTGGAGTGACCATAATGATCGATAAACAAAGAAGATTATTTAATAGCAACGGTCAGAATAACAGTAATATTTTCAAGAAACGCACTCTTTCAGTAATCCCAGAGGCCTAAGATGATGATGTACATTTAAGGTTATTTTACACGTATGGGCGCAGATATAAGAATTGCTTGAAATTTT